ACCCCCAAGACGCCATGACAATTCCGTCCTTGGCCAACTGTCGACACATCTTTTAATCTCCGTCTCTGTCTCTCGACCAGAATCATTTATCTCCCCTGTTCTTCCTCACGAATATTTTCGTCTTCCTCTAACCTTTCTGCAACCGCTGTCGTGATCCTCTCAATCGGTGATAGACCCTCGCTGCGACAAAATGAGTCACTCCGGTACGTGCGCATTTCCTTTCTTGGCGTCTGCGGAAGCTGTTCCTGAACCCTGATCAACTCGTTATCTTTGTCATTTCTTTGCCCCTCGACCCTTTCGCATTATTTTGGATATTATCATTCTCTCGATAATTATCCATCCAAAGAAGATTGTTTCTCATCGGTTTGCGGCGGTTGTGCTGAGCTGGCCGTCTGTCTCTTCTCCGATTTCGCCCTTCCCGCGTTTTTCCTTTTTTCCCCCCCATTTTCCCCTTCGATCGCTTTCCATCGGATCTTTCCCCCACCCCCCATCGCTGCTTCGCAAACAGCAAGCCATTCCTCAAAATACTCGCTGTATATTTGTGTCCTTCACGATGAACATAACAAGGCTGTTACCGCGCTCCAATGCTCTGTCTTCGCCGACGGCAGTCGCACGAGCGTTTCAGGGTCGCGGGGCAGGCGTATATCCTTCATCATCTCAGACCGTACATATGTGTCCAACCTCCACCGTCTGCTTAATGCATCGCTGGCCCTGTTCCACATCTGCGCCATTGCGATCGAGTCAGAAATCGGAAGCCCAGACGAGTGCTAATAATAACTCACCTTCAGACAAATTCTCTGCCGCGCTCGCCAAGAACAAGCAATGGGCTGCCAAGTGCTCCCAAGAGCACCCTGAGCTGCTTCCCACACTTGCTGTCGGTCAACACCCGGAAATTCTGTGGATCGGCTGCTCCGACTCCCGCTGCCCCGAGACCACCATCTTAGACCTTCTGCCCGGTGATGTCTTCACCCACCGTAACATTGCCAACGTGATCCACCCGGCCGACCTCAGCTCGGGCGCCGTCATCGAGTTTGCCGTGCGTCATCTTCGCGTTAAGCACGTCGTAATCTGCGGTCACACCAAGTGCGGAGGTGTCGCCGCTGCCCTGGGCAACAAGGGCCTGGGCATCCTCGACCCCTGGCTGATTCCCCTGCGTCAGCTCCGCGAGCAGCACCTCGCTGACCTGCAATCTCTGTCCCAGGACGAGGCCGTCGTCAAGCTGGCCGAGTTGAACGTCAAGGAGGGCCTGAAGGCATTGACGCAGAAGAGCGTCGTGCTGGAGGCGATGCAGGAGCGAGGCCTTCAGGTGCACGGGCTCATCTATGATGTCGGATCTGGCGTCCTTCGAGAGCTGGACGCCGCTGAACCCGAAGACGCGATCAAGGCACGCTTGACATCGTTCAAGACCGATGCCTAGGCGGTAGGGATCTTCATTGTGTTTTGTGTGTGTGTGTGTGTGTGTGTTCAATTTCAGCGATTTTCGAGTTCCATTTTGGTCGGATGTTGATATCTGTGACTGTTGATTATGAGCGAGAGAGGTCAGCATTGGAGCGTGCGTAGTCCACGGCATGTATATAGTCAAATACCTAGGTCGAAGTTCTGAATCTAGGACATTTGAACTCAAGAGTCCAGTAAGAAAGCCATGTCAATGACTGTAGCTTGTAGATGCCATCGCTCTCAAGAACGCATCATTACCGTCCAAACACACAGACATAGGCTGGAGACGACGCACAGATGCAGGAAAGAAGAGGAAGAAAACAAGAAAGGAAATCGATTCTGAAACGACTACGGGGGTAACCCAATTGATTTAGATTATTCAGACATCAGCTAATTACGCAGCAACTACGCCGTTTCCAGTGGATGCATGCAACTTATACCCAGCTAGGCAAACTGTCCCGGGCATGATGCCAATGAAATCTCACTTGTTCGGGGAGGAGAACCTTGTGGCCGCCTGTTTTGGACCCGATTGTTGCCGTTTTGGGTATGGTCCCGGCCGAAGCGGGGTTGTGTCGGGCGAGATTGATGCCTGAGGTTTATGTCGTTGATGTGAGGGTGCCGAATATGGAAAAACAACATTGACTGTTGCAGAAGGAGATCGATATATTATTGTCATTACTGCCGTGGATCCAACCTTACGAGGGATTGACTAGCTCAGCCTTGCGGACAATGCTCTGCGAAGACTCAATTTTGAATATGCCTGCCACAATCTCGACGTATTTTCTTCCATTGCTCAGGTAGGATCTCTGGGAGCAGGCTCAGCACTTTCGAAAGGGCTTGGTAAGGAAGTGAACGGAAAAGGCTCGGCATGCACTTTTGCAATTGGGACCCAGCTTCCAAGAAAAAGAAGGCTGCCATGACCAGTGTTTCCCATCGAATCTGAGACTGTCAAGTAAAAGTTGTGCTATCAATTCGGTATAAGTCCTCTGTTAAATGCAGCAGATTCTGGACACCCTGGCGCGACCAAGGATCACTTGTCTTCATGCTCTGGTGAAGTTCTTGCACTTGCCCTTGGAGCATCGCAATCCGGTGCCAGCCTCCTGGGGAACTCTTCGCGAGTATCTCCAGCTGATCTTTGATCTCGGAACTGTGCAAAATAAGCGAACCTGCACTCCATTTGAACAAATTAGAAATAAACGCGGACCTTGTGATATAGTGGAGTTGCAGTCCCAGTTGACTTCGAGACTTTTCCAATCTATCCTGCATGCTTGATATGTCCTTTTCATACCATAGACCTTTTAATCGTATTGCGGTCGCTCTGAAAGCTTGAGCTGGACCTTTTGGCTTCATTTATCTAGGAGTTTCAATATATCTTCCGCCACGCTCTTGCCTTTTTTTGCGAGATCACATATGCCTTTGTCCTTCTTGTTGACGGCTTGACCTGATGGAACGAGGTCATTGGCGAACTTTCGCACTTCCCCTGCAATGAGGCCATCGCTCGGAGCATCTCTTGTGGCCCCCGAGGTGAAGTTGGGGATTTCGCGCACCTCTGACAAATTTAGATCCGAAGTCGATGAGGGATATGATATTAGATACGAGACGGATGATAGCCAACGCATCCATTGCCATGGACTAACTTGCGTATTCTTTGCAGATCATTGATAACCTCGGAACGCGGTCAGCTACCTCGTATTAAATAGACATGCACCGTGTTGCAGTCTGGCAGGGTCTCGGAAAAGCTCGACAAGGTCTCGGATTTGAGACCTTGCTGAACTGCGCATCCAGCAATTGAGCACAAAATGATTTCTCTATCTTGGTTCTTTTTGTGACTCTCCCTGCTGAAGTGACATGCATTCTGACGACTATCAAAATAGAAGATGGGAGGATGATCGGAGATAAGCAGGGGAAGGGCCTAGCACCTGGTATCAGTAAACCCCCGATATAAGCAACTCCGCTATAGGGAAACCTCAGATATAGCAAATGGCCACCGTGTCTGAATTAAATTCGCATAATAATTTGCTTAATACTCTAATATACAATTATTTACTTCCAAAGATCATCTCTCCCATGCAAAATTACTTATATTAGATCATTCTTTAGAGTTTCTAGAATGATGAAGCGCACCCGCAATGCAATTCTAAATAGCCAGAAGGCTGCTCTCCGTGCTCAGCATCAGTTGAAGCCTTCTCTCTCGCTCATCCAGCTTCAGAAATGGTATGAGGATGCTTACAATCAGAAGATTACCGTCTCCTCTATCTCCCGAATCATATCAAATGATTATGCCTTCCTTGATACGATTGCAACCCATCAACTTGGTGATAAACGACGTCGAACGGAGCACTGGCCAGAGCTAGAAGAGGCTCTATTTGAGTGGATTCAACAGGCAGAAGCGCAGACTACAATATCACAAGAGGTTATCCGGGCGAAGGCGAAGCAATTCTGGATATCTATCTATCCAGGGAAAGAGATGCCGCAGTTCAGCAATGGCTGGATACGGAACTTCCAGTCTCGCCGTGGTATCAAGAGACATACTAAGCAGGGTGAAGCTGGAAGCATATCTGAAGATGCTGGGATAGGGAGGAGTGGAATTCGCAAAGCTTTAGGCCTATTTGCTCCTCAAGATATCTTCAATGGTGATGATACTGCAGAGCCTCTCCCGCATATTCTACCTGCGGATGCCTTAGAAAGCCTTTATAAGCTACGCCTCTATGAGGAGCAGCAAGTTGATGCAGATAAGGCTCTTATAAAGGCTTTTATGCGATATGAAGGGTGATTCTAAAGAGAAAGGTTCATAACCAGCGTCAGGGCGATATCCGACAGTTTTTTAGATAGAGAAATATATAATTCCAGTGTTGATTTGCTAAAGAATCCAGTACAAGGAAATTTCGATATAAGGAAGCCAAAGTGGCTGTCTCTAATACGTGCTTATATCGGCGGGGGGTTTACTGGTATGTTTAGAAGCTACCTCAGGGGTCTAGGACTGCGGACCCACTTGGTCCATAAAGCATCGCTTCCTCTTCTTGCTCCAGCACGCGGCTATTCACACGTATTTACTGTATTTTCCTTAATGTGAACAGTCCAAAGAGGAAGGGTCAAGCTGATGCTTCAACCCGAATTTCTGGACCGAACAATGAATATCCGAGACTAGCGACAGCGCTGGTCGGTTACTCATCGGCTCAAGCGCATCATCGCTTCAGACTTTCGGCAGATCCAGTAGTCCAAAATTGAGTCACGGAGGGTTCGTTCTACGACAGTGCCCGAAGCTTTAGGCCGGCTTAATAATGATCGCGGCTTTAAGAATGGAGTTATCGTCAACAGACGGACTTGCCTCAACCTTGGTCATTTGGTTGCATTTGCCTTTTTTTACCCGTAATCCTGACTCTGTTGATTTCGGATTACCTGTCTTCTACTTTGCTGCTGCGCATTGAGCACATTTTTTCTGATAATTTACGAACAGTGCATACAATGGCTTCTAACAATGAAATGGAATATGTCCGGTATGCTCCTTCAATGCGTCGCGGCTCGTCCAGGTCCCGCACCGCTAACCAGACCCATTGGAAATAGTTTGGGCAACTCTGGCCTCAAGATCTCCAAGATCATCCTAGGAGCCATGTCCTATGGCTCCAAAAAGTGGCAGGATTGGGTCCTTGACGAGGACGAGGCCCTTCCTCTGATTGAACATGCCTACAAACGGGGCATCAACACATGGGACACAGTAAGTGGGCGCTCACGGGCACAAATAAAGCGATGCAGCCATATTCTCTGACCCGAGTAATGCATTGAAGGCCGACACATACTCCCATGGCGTCTCGGAAGAGATCATCGGCAAGGCCCTGAAAAAGTACTCCATCCCCCGCCATCGGGTCGTCATCCTAACCAAATGCTACTTTGGCGTCGCCGACGAAACCAACGAGGGCAAAATGCCTCCTATCTCCGCCTGCAACCGAAACGACGGCGAGTGGGCGAACCGTGTGGGACTCTCCCGCAAGCACATCTTCGATGCGGTCGACGCCTCCGTCAAGCGGCTGGGCACGTACATCGACGTGCTGCAGATCCACCGTCTGGACCGGGAGACGCCCCGCGAGGAGATCATGAAGGCTCTCAACGATGTCGTTGAGAGCGGGAAGGTCCGATACATCGGCGCCAGCACGGTCCGTTCCCGCCCGTCTCCTTTCTGACTGTCCAAAATGACCCTGGTCGCTGACGTTCTCAGATGGCCGCTTGGGAATTCCAAACCCTCCAGAATATCGCCGCCCGCAACGGCTGGCACCAGTTCATCTCCATGCAGAACTACCACAACCTCCTCGCCCGCGAGGAAGAACGCGAGATGATCCCGTACTGCCTCGACTCCGGGGTCGGTCTCATCCCCTGGTCGCCTATGGCGCGCGGTGTCCTGGCCCGACCCTGGGGCTCACGCTCCTCCATCCGTGAGAACAGCGACGCGACGCTGCAGCTGCTGGTCCGCAACCGCGAGACCGAAGCTGACAAGGCGATCGTCGATCGGGTCGAGGAGATCGCGAAGAAGAAGAATATTTCCATGGCGCAGGTAGCCATTGCTTGGGTGCTAAGTCATCCCAAGGAAAACCCTATTCTGGGTCTGTCGAGCAAGGAGCGGATCGACGAGGCGGTTGCTGCTATCAAGGTGCAGCTGACACCGGAGGAGATAAAGTACCTCGAGGAACCTTATCGCCCCAAGGCTCTAACGGCTCTTGAGCGGTGATTATTCGTATACATGCATGCAAGGGTGTATCCATCAGTGTCTGGGTACGTAAGTGGTCGCATTTATGCAGTGAAGCTGCTGAGGGTTAAACGATAGTTTCAGACGCTTTTCTATGTACACTCTTCTAGGTAATATCATAGATGAGATGCCCCTTAGATGACCACACAGATGGGATACACAAAACTAGGAAAATGCAAGACTGGAAGTGTAAAGTCATTGATACGCGTGGGAATCATAATGCTAGAATGCAAGGAGATGAGATGATCGAAGTGAGAAGGCCTCCAGAGCCGGTGGGCGCGAAACCATGCGTAGTCCATGGTCCCGCATGGAAACATGGTTTCGCGCGCACGATGCAAGTTGCGTAAATGGCAAATAACCAGCGAAGCACCAGTCTTCGCTTAATGGTGTCCGCATTTTTTCGTGAAGAAGTCAAAGAAACCGCTTAGTCGATGTCGTCTCTTTCCTTTGGATGGGGCAGAGTCTGCCGCTCTGGTTTCAAGCAGTTTGCTGGCCTTTTCCGATGACGCCGTCGAATGCTTCCGTGACCGACGTTTCGTATCAATAGACTTGTCTGGCGCTGTGTCTGGGCCGCCCGAAGTCTTGAAATCGCCTATTTTGTGGCGACAAGTCCCGCCAGCGACATGAGTTTCTGTCGCGTCATTGTTGCCTAATTCCTGCGTCCCCGGAAACATGCTATGTCTATTGGGTTGGGTTTCCAGCCCGGAGACACTTCGCCTACTGGACCGCTCAATAAAAGCGGCGCCCGTAGACCTTGAGCGTTTTGGTAAGCTGGCGTACTTCGTCGACCTGGCACGCTCAGAAGGAGCTGGTGTTTGTAAAGGAAATGTACTCGACACCGACGATCGATGCGCAGTTTTGTTGAGCACCGATCCGTCCAAGGATGTATCCCGTTTCTCAGAAAGAAAATCGTCCGGTGGTCTTACGGCCGTTGGAGAGCTCTGTCTTGACACTCCGGGCGAACAAATCCCTTTCGGATTTAAGATTAGAGCCGAGTCATCATATGTGAAACTTTGCGACCAGCCTTCCCTGAATGCCACCCATATTGCAGTCAGGATAATGATTGTCCGAAGACTATCATCCGTCTTGATCACTTCTTGGTCCAGGGGGGTGTCCAATTCCGAGGAGTCACTGACCACCGACATGCCACATGTAGGTGAAAGAGTGGGGTCAGAAGGCATAGAATACTGGTCAAACACTTCAAGGACATTGCGAGTCATCGATGCGATGACGGGATGTCGACGGGTATTGGGGTTGATAACACTGAATGTAAAACGGTTGCCGTCCTCGTGCAGGCGACCCCCAGGAGGGGCTGATACACGGCGACTTTTCGCTCCACGCGAGACCCAACGCAAAACCTGCACCCCATGATCCGTCTGCGCTCTAAACTCATACGAACCATTGGGCAACGGGATCGCCTCCCAGGCCGGACCAGAGCTCAGGCATATTTCCGCTCTTCCCTGGGACAAAGCATCCTCTCTGAGAATTTGACAGATTGTCGCAATAACCTCCCGATTTTCCTGGCTCTCTTCGTCCGAGCTGAGATACTTGTCTGCGATATCTCCTACCGTTCGTTCGTACAGATCGCTTGTCACGATGATCAAATCATTCGGTCCTAGTCCTTTTTTTCCTTTGAAAATTGTAGGGAATTTGCGAGCCAACCGCGGCAGGAAAACAGTTGACGGTAGCACATCCAAGACAGGCAGGGGCCGTGATGTCTGAGAGACTCTCTGTAGCTGCAGAAGAAGCTTTGGTCGAAGTTTCAGCCGCCGATGGCGTGCGTGGGCCGCCGGGTGGGCTAATTGGTAGATAGTTTTCGGGCGGGATGATTGTTTCCTAACTGAGTGAGCGCGGCCGATGGCAGGCCGATCTGCAACTGGTGCCACTATTGTATAATTGTCATCGCTGGACGAGATCGATTCAACTTGGCTCAGCGGCATCGTACGCAGTGGTGCTTTGTGCGATCCGTTAGTTTCCGTTGGTTTGTATCGATGATATAGTTCCGCCAGTCCCAGAGAGGATAGAGTAGGAAAGGAGATGGTCGGGGAGGGATGTGGTGCCGGGCTGGAGAGTCGTAACTCGGATGAGGCTGCGACAACGTCGTTCTCGTGAGCAGCAGCAGCATCCGCCGTCCAGCCAAGGTTGAATAGCATTATTTCATGAGATCGAAATACTGCGATCTACCCATCAAGAGGAACATCGGTTGACTAGGCAGAGGCGAATTGCAGGGGTGGCTTGTGATGTAATCGCCAAGGATTGATAGTTTGTACAATGTTCAACCCACACAGGTTGAATCTTGTGCTGATCTGGGGGAAGGGAGAATGAAAGCGGGTTCCCACACGGGGCGGAAGGGGGTCGTTTGAGTATTCTATTCGGAGGTAATGAGAGTGTGAGAATGATGGAAAAGAGAGGATGATATTGTATGACAGAGTGGGAAGTCGTAAGCTCTTGTGTGACCTGCACAGCAACAGCAAGGATAAATTGTCCGCCCCAGCTCTGAGGCTGAGCTGTGGAGTGTGGAAGTATCGGAGACAGACGCGAGTCAGCGCAGACGGACGCGGGGGAAGGAAGGAATTATGTTAGAAAATGAGAGAGGCAAGAGATCAGAATAAAGTGCAGTAATGCAAGGGGAAGAGGCTGAAACTGTCTTAAAAGAATTAGCTGGAATGTTGAAGGGGAAAGAAAGTCTTGGTATGGAGACTAGTTGGCTGGGTTGACGATGCCAATGCTGAAGGCGATGAGAATAAGTTACTTTGTACCTCTAAACTAGGAAGAGAGGAAGGCTGCATGATGTGTATAAGTACTCAGGTATGAAAGATGGCGGTCAATATCAAAGAAATTTTCAGGGATTTGAGAGGATATCCACATTAGAACCACATGTGTCAATGTATCCATTATTAACAATGATAATTCTTCTGGGATCCATGAATTTATCCAGAGAACTGTACAGGGTAAGTACGGATAGCATCGAACTGTACCCGTTCGTCGGATACCGGAACAGCCAATCTATGGGCGACAACTCGCATCCGTAACCCAAACCAGTCTAGACGACGATCTTCGGGGCTGACAAGGTAGGAAAAGACCGAGCCATGCTGGCGGAGAGTCTAATCTAAGCCATGAAATAAATCTTCACGATCTCACGATCTTACTGCCATACGGTCTGTCAGTCTGGGTGAATACACTTTGCCCCGTCGGAGCACGGAGGAACTGTTCAGAACATCAGCGAGCTACCTTAAAAGTCCAAACCCAGTCTTCCCTGCTTCGATTGTGGACCAAAAGTCTTGAACAAACGGGATGATCACTCAACATAAATTTTACTACCTAGCACTTTACCTAGCAATTAGCACGCCGAGCATAACCACAAAGCGCCTCAGAAGCTGAAGCTCAAACCTTGATCCAATCAGAAACCCGAGCTCGGAATTCGGACGGTTTTTGTAGTTGAACCGGAGATCTTGACCTCCGAGTTGCCGGTAAATTTTGTAAAGTACGGAGTAATGGAACTCCCTTGCACCAGCTTCCGTCCTTCGGCTGACTTCATCAAAAAAGGTGACAAACTCATCCAAAGGATTCAAGTCAAGCTTGATACGATCCGATTGAAAACGAGGTGGGAATACGAAACAACACCAGCCTATGAGATACGGGGCGAACTAGATACCTGGATCTATCACGTTAGCCCAAACTGTTACCTAGCTTCGTGCAACATTGCTCCTCCAGCTACCACTGGGAGTAGCGGTACGCGTATGCTAGTAATACAATTATACAAGGTCAAAGTTAAAAAGGAAGAGGAATGAACTGGTCAGATGTGTCGATGATCCGATGGATCCCTGAAAGTGAAGCCCGTGGTGCTACGGCGATCTGGATTTGGCTTGTGAATATGCGCTGACATCGCAGAACAACAATACTAAGGTATAGTGTTATCGCACAGGTACTGTACCTCTCTAGAAGAGAAGAAACCGATACCGACTAGTCTAGTCACTAGCAGAACTCCACTCCACAATGAATGACCACCGATGAAGGTGAGGTCATATCAGCATTGGCGCCATCTACGCGGCACTCCGAATAGAGGACAGGTCTGCTCAGGCTACCACTGTCATTCCAGCAACATCTATTTGATAGACTTGTGCATGCCAGTCTTCCACATTTTGTCGTTCTTTTGGTGGGTGTGCGATTCCGAAGCTTTGATGCCAACATTCTGTTGAAATATATGATCGATCATGACCTAGACTACGGAACAGAAAAGAGCCATTCCATGGTACAGGAGTCGAGTTCGCTGTATTAGCTCTAAAGAGACCCATCTATGACCGCATGCTATCGGGTTATCAGTAGTTTATCCTACAGCTGACGGCACAAAATAATTATGTTGGATGTTGTGGTTTCTAGGCCCAAATCAACCCATAGGGCTGACCGGGACCTAGGTAAATAACTTAACTAAGTGTCAAAAGAAATTGATTAGTCAACCAGTGAACCCTTTCTTCTAACCTAGTTAGTTATGAGTGATTACATGACTCCCAGTAAAATTCTTCCAGTCAATTCTGTTCTGCATACCGATCCATCAACTATCTTTAATTTTACTAGTACTGCCCCTATCAACTAGGGTAGTACAACATGGCCCCAAACTACCTAAATGACTGGCAGGATCGCCACCAAATCGATCGACGTAATGCCAGTATGCCACTAATAAATACCGCATATGTTTTGAAGCGCATTAGTAGTTGACTTGTTTAACTTATTCTCCGCTCCGCTGAATCAGCGGTTGGATTTAACTAACTAGTTAATTTAATATGTTATCTAGGGACATTAGTAGTACTATCCTTATGCATGCCGAAGCCGAGCAATCCGAGATGCTGGTCCACCTGACTTGACGAATCTTGGCATTGATTGTGGTGCGGATCTTTGATTGCTGCACAGCATCTCGGCATGTCAGGAAAGCCGAGTGCTCTATTTCGTACGAAGTACAGGCGGCATCATTCTCCTTTCGCTGATTTGTGATCATGCCACGGTTATCGGTATCCCTCTTGGTCTACATGGGCCCACAACAAAGAGACAGACCCCTTCTCCATTGAACAGTGTTGAGTCTTGATGACTTCTCCGTCTCGACGCGCCGGTTCTCAATCGGCGTGCTCGCTCTGTCCAATCCTTGTCAATCCTCGCCGCCCTCTCAGAAGCTTATCCATTCTCTTTGGGTTATGGAAAGCTCTCATCTTCCTAGTAATAGCTTTCTGCCCCGGACTTGGCTATGACACCTCAACAAGTGTACTCCTCTATCCAACCAGAGACTTATCGGACGTTGATCCATTACACTTTCCCCTTCCACTCAGATTTGTGAGATGGGATTCCATTTACTTTGTTCACGCTGCTGAGCATGGCTATGTTTTTGAACAAGAATGGGCCTTTGGGTATGGTTATACCAGGCTCTTGGCCCTTCTTGCGCCCGGTATTTACAACAATTTTCTTAAATAAATGTCCGTATAGCACAAATGCTAATTATGAGTGTTCAGTATTACCTCGATCAGCCGACTTAGGTGAATCAGCTCGAATTGCATTGGTAGCAGTTGTGCTCTCCCACATCGCTCATTACCTATCAGTCCTGGTTCTATACAGGCTCTCAATCAGCATCTTTGGCGGTGACACTGCCAAGCAGAAGACCCTTTGCTTTCTCTCCGCTGCTTTACACATCATCAGTCCAGCGGGTGCATTTCTTTCGGCACCCTATGGAGAAGCTCTGTTTTCCCTTCTCAGCATCTCTGGGTTCTACCTTTACTCATCATCGGTTCTCGATGATACTACCAACCACCGATTGTCATTGGACTTGAAACTCCTTACAGCCGCTGTACTAATATCAGCAGCCACAGCAGTCCGCAGCAACGGAATTCTTGGTGGAATTTTGTTCGCGTATGATGCTCTTCTACAGCTGCGGCAGATTCTCAGTCGAGGTTTGGCATGGGCGGTTGTCTCGCGCCTTGTGGTCATTGTCCTCGGAGGCTGTGTCATCGCACTGGGTATGGCTGTACCTCAGTACATCGCTTTTAATGCTTTCTGCATGAATCCGAACGCCCCACGTCCATGGTGTGGATGGACCATCCCGAGCATATACCGCTTTGTCCAAGAACAATACTGGTAAGTGAAGATATACCAGACTGCCCCATGACTATTGCTCAATGTGTCATACAGGAATGTTGGGTTCTTACGGTATTGGGTCGTACCAAATATCCCTCTATTCCTCTTAGCCTTGCCCATGTTAGCATTGCTTCTTCGGTCAGCTCTCTGGGCGTGGAGACTGCCATCGATCACCAGTAAATTTTCAAAGAATGGTGCCAATGGAGCATCAACTAAAGCCATGTGGTTACTCCCTCGCTTGGCAATTATTCAAGCCCTGCTCGCTGTTCTGGCATTCACCAGCTATCATGTCCAGATCATCAATCGGTTATCTTCTGGGTATCCATTATGGTACTGGCACCTGGCGGCTGAGCTTATAAGCGATCTTGAAGACTCTCAATCCACTAATAAGGGCATCAGCATCTCTGCAGTTGCTATCCAAGCTATGATGATCTATGGTTTGATCCAAGCGGTTCTCTTCGGCTCGTTTCTCCCTCCCGCTTGAAGATACGTACCTGGTAAAATCTACTTCTTTTCGGCTGTACAGTTCAATGAAGCTCACCACGTTATACTGGTGGCCGATCTATCCGGAATGAAATGAATTAATTTATAGCATAGAGGAGACAAATGACAGGAGATAGAAGATATGATGAGGAAAGAATCAGGTACCAGAGAGTCCACGGTTTTAATCACCTAAACATCCATGTTTGCGTTCAGAATGTCTGAAAGCACCATACCTCAATCCCTAGAAAACGAAATCCATTCCTATGTCCTACTAACCAGACCATTATTGTGGGCGTTCCGCTCCTGGTGGCTGACAAAAGAAAGTAGCTTTAGGCTGCGGTGCTCTTACGTAGAATTATGTCATCAGTCGTCGCTCTGGTCAACCGAACTCTCAACTGATACCTTCAACTTCATTGCTTCGCGTGAGCTCACACTATATTGACCACCACGCTGCTAATCAAATTAGGCAGCTCATGCTGACGAATTTCTTTTATTAAAAAAGAGAATATCTCTGTTTTTGTGTTTTTCCTGCTTATTTCGAATCATTCTAAGCTCTGATCGTTGTTCCCCGGCCGCCTCGCTGATTGAGACCGAGATTCGCTGAGCTGCCCCATGCGAGCAGGACTGGCAGCAGCCTACTGTCTGGTATCGATATCTACAGCTCGATATCCGGTTACAATCTTCATGACTAGTGTACAATAAGCCCTACATTCTCGCTCGCTGGTTTGTTCCATTCATTGATCGACGGGACTGAAGCTGACGTCTTTTTGTATCCAGAGCTCATCTGGTCCTCCCACGAATTTGACCCCTACGCCGCAGTAACTGCCGCACACCCTACGCAACTATGGACACCTCAGGACCCAAGGCGATTCTGACCCAGAATGTCTATCCTGCGCATGAGATCTCCCGAGCCACCTCGCCCGGTGGTGAGCCCGCGGGGATGAACGGGGAGGGCGAGCCCAAAGCCCGTGTCCGTCCTCGCACCTATCCTTACTTCAAATACCTCCCATATCCGACAGAAGATGAGTCTGACAGAGAACGAAATCTACGAGAGATATTGAATCAGCTCTACATTGCCGTTGAAGCTGGGGATTTTAGTCCCGGCGCAGTCCACTGGACTCGAGAGCTTAGGGGTTGGCTGTCCCTCAAGTTCGACCCCACTCGTACAGAACGAATCAACCTGGTCAAGCTATATTATGAGCTCTCGCTGGCCCCTGGGATTGATCCCAATGTTGCGGAACGCTTCGCTAGCATGTTCATGCTACTTACAAAGTGAGCAGATTCTCCCATGGTGTTGCTTAGCTGGGTTCGGCGCGCTGACACAATATGCAGGCGGAAGCATTATTTACGACCGGTGAAAGATCTCATCCTAGATTGGAGGCCCTTATATAAAGAATTGAAAGCGTTTGTTTTGCCGACAGAGTCGGGTCTAGTGCATTCGACCAACCTGAAGCGTAATGTCAAGACGCTGACGAAGCTTTGTGCGTTCGTTCAGCTCTACATTGACCCATGTGAGCTGCCGGCTATGCTGGAGGAATTCCTCCCCCACTTTTCAACGTCTTTCTCAGAAGGTGCCTTTGTTGTTGTTGGGTTAATCAATCTACTTCTTCCAACCTCCCCGCCTCCCCAGTCCAGAGAAGATCTTCTACCGCAGCATTACCTGCCAACACATTTCCACCTATGGTCGCTCGTCAATCGTTCCAAGACCTTTGATATGACATTTCTGGACTATCTTTCCCGGTTGGCACGAGATTCGTTGCCTGCAGAGCATATACCATTTTCCGAACATGGTCTCTTCACCAAGGAGCAGTCAGCACTCATCTTCACTGCCATCCTGAGACTGCTGGAAATTCCTGTGGGACAATCGACTTCTCCCTACAGTGCTCTCGTAGATATCTCGTCGGGATTGGGCATCATGCTCGATCGAGATGCTCGAAAGCATCCCGTTGCGCATCACATTGCTCGATGGGTGGTGATGTCACTCTCGCCGGAATGCGCCGACGCAGACGAATCAATTCTGACCCAGCTCGAGGGCCTTATTCAGGCCGTGGAAACATTTTTCCATCCTTCCAATTCAGGTGGTTGGACCAAGACATTGTCTCAGCTTGTATACTATCTCTCTGACTTCTTCCTGATGCGCTGGAACCGAGAGCAGACTGGTGAGATGGAAGTACCGGTTGGCCGCAGATTGACTGAGCCACTGAAACGCCGTTTTGTGCTCTGCTTGCGTGATGTAGTCTTCATGGGCATTTATGCCAAGAGCGGCACCGCCATCAGCTTCTCATTGTCTACTTTGCAGAATCTTGCGTTTTTAGAACCGCACCTGATTCTTCCGGGAGCTTTGCAAAGAATATATCCTTCTTTACAAGGTCTTGTGGAGGTTCATCGCACAGCATCTTCTCTTCGGGCCCTTCAAGTCTTGTCTCGAATCATTTCGCGGACGAAAGGCTACCGCTGCCATATGACAACCTTGCTTGGACTCGCTCTACCAGGTATCGATGCCAACGATTTGGAGAAGTCTCTTCATGCTCTGTCTTTCATTCAATCAGCGTGCTACAACATCCCCTTATTTGACCTAACAAAAGGGAGAGAAGACATTAATTGTGACATGCTGGCTATGCAGTGGATTAATGGCGAAATGGGACGAATGGAGGCAGAAGGTGTAGAGGTACAGCTGAACTACGACACTGACTTAAGCGATGAGAACGAAGAAATGATCTTGCGCTCATCGACATGCGGCTTTGGAGATTTCATCGTTTCGTTCTTGGGGCGTGTCTTCACTCTTCTTGAGAACCTTCCAGACGCGAGCAGAGTGCGGAATGGGTCGCCAGAGGAGAACATTGTGAACACCCTTCCTGCAACATTCATGCCTCTACTCTCGTCCCTTTCGCCTGAGTACTTCGATATCGCTTTGTCCAAGGTTGTCGATTTCGTGTCGAATCATGTCATTCACCAGGCGCGAGATGCGATGGCTTTTATTTGTAATTCCATTTGCAAAGTGAATCCCGATCAGGCTCTGAAGCGTTTCATTCCGGTGCTGACGCAAGCCATCCGGACTGAAATAGACGACAATGGCGCAGGCTCAACTCGGACGACCGGAACTGATGTTCTCCCGCGGGATCGTGCCCTGGTCTGGAACATCAGCATGCTGAGCATGTGCGTTGTGCACGTCGGAGACGCAGTCCTCGCTCACAGGAAAGAGCTGTTTGATATTGCTGTTTATATGCAGCAAAAATGCAGGGGCATACCCACTGTTCACATATCGAACTTTATTCACCACCTCCTTCTCAACCTTACGGGAACATATACAATCGACTACTCGCTGTACGAACCTGAGGTCCTCGCTGAGGGAATAACCCCTAAGCTCTGGAGTTATCAACCAGACCCAGATAATCTGACTGTGAAATGGCATGTTCCGAAACGTGAGGAGCTTGAATTTGCTGTCGAACTCTTCCAAAACCAAGCAGAAACTGCTCTGAAATCGTTGTCTGCACTCACCGATGGAACAGCAAGTGTGAAAAGGGATGGTAGCGGAAAAGATTGGTCAGATGAAGTTTCCAGGAATCTTGTCTTGCTACGCCTTATTCTCTCGGGAATCTCTGTTCTTTTCGACAGCAAAGCAGCGTCGAAAACGAAAGATGAAGGAGTAGACGGGATAGCGAATGATGTCGAGATGTCCGATGCAAAAGACTTTCCAGTCGCCAATGGTGTTGGAGACGAGGACCCTGACGCATCACTCGACACTTCTGACGAGGCAACTGTCAGGCAAAGCTTCTCCTACCCTACTGGCTATCCTCTGGAGGAGAATGACCCGCTCTACAGTTGCATTCACGATCTTCGGGAGAGAGCTGGCTGGGTCCTACACGATGTCCACAGATTTTTATCGGATAAGCAAGAGGACGACGTACCTTGCTTCGCAGCTCTATACTCGGCTTTCCGGTCTTGGTTCATTGACGTTGGCATGGAACGGTCTGCGCATGTTCTGGACAGAGTCACGCGCCTTCTTGCGGCAGATATTCATCCTTACAAGATGAGCGGTATCCGGAAAGACTACCCGCGTCCCCTACTGGTGCGGAGAGCCAATGTATACCACTTGCAGCGCCTGAGGCACAATGCCGCCCCAAGACCACGGTCTCGTCTCGACGAAATCCTGCTCCTGGATCTCGCTGAGTCGTGCGTTTCGCTTTACACGGAGACTCGGCGCAACGCTCAGAGCGCTGGCGAATCTGCTCTCAAGGCTATCTGGGGGTCGCGACTTCTTGTCATTCCTCCTCTGCTCACGGCCCTACAGAAAGGCATCAAGCAGAATGATCATGCGCGAATCAAAGGTGCATTGTTCTCTCTGCTGCTGAGTAGCGTCGCGAAGACTGTGGGGCGCCACTGGAAATATGCCCCAACTCTGATCAGAACTTTCATTGACGCAAGCGCGGTTGATAAACCATCTGTGCAGAAGATCTGTTCTAGTGCAGTTTTTCAAATCATGGACTACGGCCGTGCAATGGAAAGAATGGCTGTGCTTGACAGAGATATTGTGGAAGCAATCGCTCCGAAAGAGGATGTCCAAGACCAAATTACGCAAAAACGCAAGAGTATCAACCACAAGCGTGCTATCATTGAGAAAAAGAAGGCTGATATGGCTGAGGAACTGGTCAACCTGGCAAGAGTCTCCCACTGGAAGGTCGCTAGCCGGGCAGCCACCATTGTAATCACAATGGGTCTGAGATTTGACTACATCGCAAGCAGCAATCTCATAGAGCTCGTCACTCTAGGGTCCATCGATGACCATCCGGGCTTGCGTGGCATGTACTCTCAGGCTCTCATTGCACTGTTTACTATGATAGATGTCCGAGCGATCTGCGGCCATGACTATAAGAATTATATTTTGGGCAACCAGCACTTCCCATCCAAAATCAAGGTCGCCACCAAGCGCTACGAAGAAGGTTGGACAGAGCAGTATCTGGCAAGCTTCGCCAAGCCAGAGGCCGAATACTATATTGACCACGACTTTCCTGGATGGCTCGTATGGTCGGATAGTATGCCTGCATATAAGTCTAATCTGGAGCGCGACATTGAGTATGACGAGGTGGAATGGAACGTACGCAAACAGATGGGTAAACTATTTGATCGAGGGTGGTTCTCCAAGTTCTTCATGTACCTGAAGCAGGAGCCGCGGGACCCGTCAGCCGACAAATTCCGCATGCCCTGTGCCATGATGCTCCTCTACGCATTCGAATTGATGCTTCGCGACGGGCTCACCGCTGCCACTTTTAAAGATATTCAAGAAGAGATTGAAGCAGTCTTTGAAGACGGTAGTGACAAGCATCAACACAGAGCTACAGCAGAAATTCTTGGTGCACTTATTAGCTCTGTCGCGGATACGAGCGTGGAGAAGAGGACACTAGTTTGGGAATATGCTTTCCCAATCGTGCAAAGGATCTTCACCGATGGATTGACCCCAGAAAATTCAGGCTACTGGACCACTTTCCTTCATATGATCCTCCAATGCCGGGATCCACGACGAGCTTGGCCCTTGGTTGACTGGCTTGCGAGTTTCCGGCTGGATATGGCAACCAACGCAGCCTTCAAAGAGAGCTCCAAGATCAACCTGCTGCATCAATGCATTATAGACGCTGGCTGGCACTTCCAGTTGGAGAAACCAATTGTCCAAGATTTCCTCGCACACCTTGATCACCCGTACAAGGGAGTCCGTGAGGCGATGGGTCAGACTCTTGCAACGATTTACCGTACACGATATCACGAGTCATACGCGGACCTTCAGCGTCTCCTCAAGGCACAGGAGTCCGCTTCACCTGTCGGCTCATATGCATATCTCCCTACTGAGGAGTTTTCTAAGATGGTGCGCGAAGTCTTTGCCCGGATCGAGAAGTGGCGCCATGAGAGATCCCCGGGTCAACAGACGCCATCTTCCTACACTTCTGGCAGCAAGACTGTTCTCCTATGGCTCGACTCCACTCTTTCATCTCACGAATGTACTCAGCTTGTGCCATTCTTCCCTGATGTGTTCACAGGGCAGCTTTTGCATATGATGGATGTCAAAGAAGACCCAGAACTTCAGTCATTGGCCTACCATGTATTCCGTCATTTGCCGAATATTCCGTACCCTGCCGAGCAGGACTCCGGCTTCATCAAGTCCTTGATACACATTGGGCAGACGTCACCCTCGTGGCACCAGCGCTTGCGAGTGATGATCAACATTCAGATCATCTACTTTCGCCGTCTGTTCCTACTTTCTCCCATCGATCGGGATAAGTTATTTGATTGTATCGCGAATATGCTTGAGGATACACAGCATGAGGTGAGGGCTGGTGCATCAGCTACCCTTTCAGGCATGATTCGGTGCTCGCCTGTGTCTCTCCGGCAGCACATGGTCAGCAAGCTACAAGAGCGCTTCACGAGGACATTGGTTGAGAACCCATTACCCAAGAAACCAAAGAACCACCCTCGTTCTGCATTAGCTTCTCCAGTCTCCTCTCGATCCGGCACACCGACTCCCGAACATACTAGACTCATCATTGTCAGACACGGCGCAGTTCTGGGTCTTGGGGCTTTGATACAAGCGTTCCCTTATGATAGTCCACCCCCAAGGTGGATGCCTGAGGCTTTAACCACGCTGAGTAACCGCGCCGCGAGCGACCCTGGCATTGTTGGGTCAAGCGTCAAGTCAATTATCAGTGAATTCAAGAAGACGAGACAAGATACCTGGCATATAGACGCAAAGGTTAGTGACGAACGTACTAACATGTTTTCAAGGGACACAGAAGCTAATTTATCGAATAGGCTTTTACGTCAGATCAGCTAGAAGACCTATCAGGGGTACTGTGGAAGAGTTATTTCGCGTAGGGCAGCGGTCGGAAGACTGTAGAGCAGAACGTTGGCCGGTCATGGTCTGTCTGTATGATAGGTAGTCAAGTTACTCTTCTAAAAATCCGGGTTCGAGCCTTGTATTTGATTCTTGTCTGCAGCAGCTTCATTTTTGCCTTGGACATGGTCTGTACATAGCAATAAAAGCAACTCTGAGTACGTCTTCAAATGTATTGCCTTTTATTTGAGGAATTGGGTACCTTTCCTACATTATCCTGTCGTCCTTCCGTGCCTAGAACATTACAAAACTACATATGTCTTTGTATTCCGACCAGCTCATCCGTTTGAGCACAAATGAGCTTTTTCCAAAGTATCCAAACTCCGCATCGCTCAATGACCAAATGGAGACTGGAGCATGATCTCTTTTCATCGTATTAGTCCGTTTTGCCATTATTCATGGTATGAAATGCCATCCTAATGGCAGTTGTTCTCCCCATAAGCAGCTGGTTGGAGAGAATAAACTGATGACATAATCTTCACGTGACTGAGAGGCGGCCACGCGGCTGTCCAAGAGTGCCGAGTGCAATCACCATGTGGAGCAATCCATAGCTGCCTCCTTGCCAGCGGCGCTGTTCTTCCCGTCATTTATTGTCGTTTCTATCATTAAGAGACGGTTTGTCAGAAATATATATTTACATACGAAGCCCTCGCCCAATACCCGTCCCTGTGGTGGAAGGAACCTGCTGGGGGCAGCGACGCTTTCACCATGGCTCCGAGGGACACCTTCTTCCGCTCGTCTGATATGAGCTTGACGCAGCTCTATATCGCCAATGAAATCGGACGAGAGGTTGTTAGTGCTTTAGGGGAACTTGGTCAGGTTCAATTTCGGGATGTAAGTTGTGCCGTACCTGGACTACCTGAGGTTTTTAGATGAGATACAGGGGCTAATTCGGATATCTACAATAGCTCAACCCCGACACCAATGCTTTCCAGCGGACTTTCACCAAGGAGATTCGTCGGTTGGATAATGTGGAGAGACAACTGCGTATGTATAACGTCCTGTGGTTGGAGGATCAATGCATTGCGAAGACCCTGACGGCGGTGGTGGTGGCATCTGGCTGACATCCATGATTTCTTGGCAGGCTATTTCCATGCGCAGATGGACAAGGCGGGGATCCCCATGAGATCTTCCACCGAATTCTCCGATACGCTGGCGGCTCCCCTGGCTTCGGAAATTGATGAACTCGCCGAGCGGAGTGAGAGCCTTGAGCAGCGAATCGCCTCCCTGAACGATAGCTATGAGACACTGAAGAAGCGCGAGGTTGAGCTTACGGAGTGGCGGTGGGTTCTCAGAGAGGCTGGCGGCTTCTTTGATCGCGCTCATACCCATACGGACGAGATCCGACAGTCGTTCGATAACGATGAGGCCCCGCTGCTGCGGGATGTTGAACACCAACCTAGCCGTGGACCGAATGGTGATGCCCAGGCTCAGCAGTCGTTCCTTGAGATGAACATTGGGTTCGTTGCGGGTGTTATTCCCCGGGATCGTATTGGTGCCTTTGAGCGGATCCTTTGGCGAACTCTGCGTGGTAACCTGTACATGAACCAGTCGGAGATTCCCGAGCCGATCATTGACCCGACTACCAATGAGGAATCACACAAGAATGTCTTTGTGATCTTCGCTCATGGAAAGCACATCATTTCGAAGATCAGGAAGATTTCCGAATCTCTTGGTGCCTCGTTGTATGGTGTCGATGAGAACAGCGAGTTGAGAAGGGACCAGATTCATGAAGTGAACACCCGGCTGAGTGATGTGGGCAACGTTTTGCGCAACACCAAGAACACCCTGGATGCCGAACTTACCCAGATTGCCCGCTCCCTTGCGGCTTGGATGATCATTGTCAAGAAAGAGAAGGCCGTGTACGATACGCTCAACAAGTTCTCCTATGACCAAGCGAGAAAGACACTGATTGCCGAGGCATGGTGCCCGACCAACTCCCTGGCGTTGATCAAGTCGACTCTGCAAGACGTCAATGACCGCGCTGGACTGAGCGTGCCTACCATTGTCAATCAGATTCGGACGAACAAGACCCCGCCTACCTATGTCAAGACGAACAAGTTTACCGAGGCCTTCCAGACCATCGTCAATGCTTACGGTATCCCTAAGTACTCGGAAGCAAACCCCGGTTTGTACACGGTCGTCACATTCCCTTTCTTGTTCGCTGTTATGTTCGGTGATTTCGGTCACGGTGCTTTGATGGCAATGGCCGCTTCTGCGATGATCTTCTGGGAACGGAAGTTGCAGAAGACGAAGCTCGACGAGTTGACCTACATGGCATTCTATGGTCGTTACATTATGTTGATGATGGGTCTTTTCTCTATGTACACCGGCTTGATCTACAACGATGTCTTTTCCAAGTCTTTCACTGTCTTCCCTAGTCAGTGGAAATGGCCTGATAACATCAAGAAGGGACAGACAGTTGAGGCTTCGTTGACGGATAGCTACCGTTACCCGTTCGGTCTGGACTGGAATTGGCACGAGGCTGAGAACTCTCTTCTTTTTACCAACAGTATGAAGATGAAGATGAGTATTATTCTGGGTTGGGCACATGTGAGTGATATTCTGCTGCTTGTCAAGAACGCCTGGTTGACAATAACTCTCTGTAGATGACATATGCGCTCTGCTTGCAGTATGTCAACGCGCGGCATTTCAAGTCAAAGGTCGACATTATTGGAAATTTCATTCCCGGCATGATCTTCTTCCAGTCAATCTTTGGTTACCTGGTTCTCACCATTGTCTACAAATGGTGTGTCAACTGGGAAGCCCAGGGCCAGTCCCCTCCAGGTCTTCTGAACATGCTCATTTTCATGTTCCTCTCTCCTGGAACTGTGGAAGAGCCGCTGTACAAGGGCCAAGCCGGTGTCCAGGTTGTGCTGCTGTTGCTCGCTGTTGTTCAAGTCCCCGTCATGCTCTTCTTCAAGCCATTCTACCTTCGCTGGGAACACAACCGTGCTCGCGCTCTGGGATACCGAGGCCTTGGAGAGCAGGCCCGTGTGAGTGCGCTTGAGGATGACACTGATATGAACGGTGGAATCTCAGGGGCCCGTGACAGCATGGCCAGCGACGGTGAAGGCGTGGCAATGATTGCGCAAGACCTCGGCGACGAAGAGCATGAGGAATTTGACTTTTCCGAAATCATGATCCACCAGGTCATCCACACCATCGAGTTCTGCCTCAACTGTATCTCCCACACCGCTTCATACCTCCGTCTGTGGGCTCTCTCTCTCGCTCACCAGCAGCTTTCGATTGTCTTGTGGGACATGACCATCGGCGGTGCCTTTGAGCAGGAGTCGCCTACCATTCGCGTTATCATGATCGTCGTCACCTTCTACATGTGGTTCACTCTGACAATTGCCATCCTGTGTGTCATGGAGGGTACAAGTGCCATGCTTCACTCGCTTCGTCTACACTGGGTCGAGGCAATGAGCAAGCATTTCATGGGTGATGGTATACCCTTCGCTCCTTTCAGCTTCAAGACTCTTCTTGAAGAAGATCCAGTTGACTAAACTGGGCTGTACATTCTTTTTTTGTGTCTTTCTTTATAGATCCATAGCTGTATCTTTCTGGACAATCGAATTGAATCTAGATGTCATTGATACATTGGCTTTCTGTTGCTCGGACCTTATATATAGTTTCCCGGCTATACGAGGTACTGTAGACACATTTACACCTGTTGGGTGCACATATAGTCGACCGTCCCAAGTCAAATGAACAGCGAGCGATTGGGTCATACATTGCCCACGTAGTGTGGGGCTTTGACTTCGAAATGACCATCCGTCTCCGGACAGAATGGCCCGGCGTACATCGTTGTTGCTGTTACCGCCAACATGTCATGTCGTGCATTTGGATTATATTCTTTTGATTGAGGCCTTAAATACAATACTCCATACATGCAGATCATTTAGTCCAACGCCAGTAGTCAGGCTATTGCAGAAACCCGAAACTCCTTCCCGACATCGTTCATTTCAGCGAGGATATATTGCACTTATTTCTTGTGCTTGTTGTAGGTGTCGATGATCTTTTGCACTTCATCCTTCGAGCCAAGGAAGACGCCGCTACGGTCGTGGATGTGCTCGGGAACGACCTCGAGAAGACGCTCGGCGCGGGAGTTGATGGCGAGACCGCCGGCATTCTCGAACAGCATGGCCATAGGCGCGCACTCGTACAGGATACGCAGCTTGCCCTTGACGCTCTTCTTGTCGGCGGGGTAGGCAAAGACACCGCCATACAGCAGGGTGCGGTAGGCGTCAGCGACCATGCTGCCGATGTACCGGGCGCTGTAGGGCTTCTGGCCCTCGCCCGGGTACTTGAGCGAGTGGAAGTACTCGTTGACCCAGTCGTCCCAGTACATGCTGTTACCCTCGTTGACGGAGTAGATGGCGCGTTTGGCGGGGAGCTTCATGTTGGGGTGGGTCAGGATGAACTCGCCCAGGGAGTTTTCCAAGGTGAAGCCGTTGACTCCGCCGTCGCGCATGGTGATGACGAGCTGCGCGGAGGCGCCGTACATGGTGAAACCGGAGGCGACCATCTCGGTACCGGCGCGCAGGATGTCATTGGCCGTGACCTTCTTGTTGGGGCCGACCAACTCGTCGGGAAGCTTGAAGATGCCAAAGATGGTGCCAACCGAGACGCCAGCGTCAAGATTGGACGAGCCGTCGATGGGATCACAGACAACACCGTAACGGGCGTTGGGGTGCTCATCAAATACGATCGCCTCCTCCTCCTCCTCTGAGACGAGTATACGGCACTTGCCAGAGCCTCTCATGGCGGAAACAAAGATGTCATTTCCGATCACATCCAGCTTCTTCTGGTCATCGCCGGTTGTGTTTGACGAGCCCGCCAGACCGGTCAGGTTGATCAACGATGCACGTCGGATGTAGTAGGCAATGGACTTGAATGCGAACTGCAGAGCGTGGCAAAGCAATCTTTTCGCAGCCATGGCAGTGTGGTTAGTTTCGGCGCAGAGTGATTCAATTTGTCAGGGAACAAACTCACGTGAAGTCACCAGTGGCTTCCGGTACCTTGACCTGCTCTTCAGTGAGGAATCGAGTGAGGGTGATGATATCTGGGTTGATGTTCTCCTGGCCCACAGCGCCGTTGTGACCGCTCGAAGACATTTTGAATATGGAAGGACGTGGTGGTGTCTAGGGTAGAGAGGATAGAATTGAGACGATGTTGCTATAATAGTTCTGAAGGGGAGTATAACCAGTATAATTCAACGTATAACCTCGGTTCGACGGAGAAACAAGGAGAGTTCGAGCAGAGAGCTACAGCAGAAAGACGGGGGAATAGACGTCTACAAGACTGGAGGCAAATCGCGACAAGGGACGATTGGCGGCAATGGAACTGGATTGAGATGAGAGAGATAGGTGAAGAATAGTAGCAATGGGAAATAATAAAATCTGCCAGCTCGACAGCAGAGGACCCGGATTGTCCCTTCTTATAGTTATACCTAGATCCAGAGCAGAGGGTACTCCAGGGCAGGAAGCAATAACTCTTTGCCGGTGGATCACAAGGAACGTCAGAGCCCCCGCGGATAACAGGGCAGAACCGGTCGCATATGATTTGACGCAATCCTCCTCTCTGTATTTCTTTCTTCTCTTCCCTTAGTCAGAAGAACTGTACCAGATGGTTCATCCGTACGTAAGGTATCCATAAGAGGTCCATAGATCGATATCATTATTCAGTGGCGGTTCAGCAAGATTGACCTGATCATCATCATTGTTTTCGTCATTACCCGTAAGAAGACCCCCCGCAGTGTTCCCTTCTCCCCGCTCTATTCCTCTTCGGGAAACTTGCCGGCTTTTCTTCTTTCCTCTGTCCGAGTCGCCCCGTCGCCCCGATATTCCCCGCGCTCTTGATAGGAGTTGAGTTGATACTGCGTACTATAAAGCAGGTGTTATTATTAGATATCTAGCAGTGGTAGATGATAAGTATTTGTACATTCGGTCTATTGATATGAGCCGACACTGTACTACTTCGATGAGCCGATGATATGCGTGCTGCGGAAACATATGTTTACGCACTGATTATATGACAGTTACTGTGTACCATGTTAATATTCGTTAGTCCGTTTAATGCGCCTCGTCCCCCCCGAAAATGCCTCTCAATAATAAGTGGATTCAGAGGGTCAGCAGATTCGCAAATTTGACAGTAATACCCTCTGAGTTTGAAACTATTCGAGTCTCGACCCTTCCAGTTCCTGTCAGCTATTTCTAGCGCGCCAAATCGAGGAAGGTCATGCGACCGGAATAAAGAAAGTCCTCCATTGATAAGCGGCGATTCTCGAGATCAGCTGACTGGCGGATTATATAATCAATATGTTCTTTCCCTGCCTTGCTCTAACCCACTTCAGACTAGTGCACTCGGTAAAATTAGCTTGGTCGAGAGAGCTTGAAAAAGTTCGAAACAGATTTTCCTCCGAGACTTTTTACACACTCACAACGACACCAAAAGGATTCTGGCATCACCGATGCATGATGGCTTTTCTTCTTGATGAATGAGGAATTGCTTCTCAGCGATGTTCTACATTGCTTCTCTGAATTTGCTCATCTCACCTCTTTGTGTGCTGACTTGACTGGTTCTCAGATATCATGTGGCCTGGTAAGTTCTGATCATCTCCTCGCGCTCCTCCCTAGCATGATGAAACATACAACCATTTTTCAAACTAGAGTCTTTGACCCCTTCAGGGAATGAAAACTCGGTTTTGCACGTCAGTCTGATGCTGCTTGCAATAACTTCATTGGTTCATTACCCAATTGGTCTTTGCAGTGCGCTAATGTTTCGATTTAGGATTAACAATCTCAGATTAGCTCCACAAGGAGTGTTGGCTCACCTTTAGACAATGGTATGTAATGATATTTTCCTGGAAAACCCCCCTCGATTCCTATCACATGATGCTTTCGTATTTATATACGCTGGAAATTACCGACCGAGACCTTCCGGGTCGTCGACGATAACAAATGGCTATTTCTGATGATATTCCCATTCACGTTTTTTGATTATATCTGCCTGTTAGTTGGCTGTACGCTGACAGCAACTAGTTTTTGATAAACAGGATGGCTTGAGTAGTACTGGGTACGGTGGTAAGGCTTTCCGGCTCTTTTGCAGACCCCAACATTCGATGATGAAGCGGCACTGGGCTCCGACGGCGTCGAACAGATGTCCGTTTGTGATGGATATGCCTCTTTGTGGCAGGCCTAGAAAACCTCGCCCACTGATATCTTCTCATTATGATATCGTTTACTTGGACCTGATTCTCAGAATTATACTGATCGTCATGGTTAGCATGTAGTTACTATGGTGCACAGTTGTCTGCTTGCACTCACCAAACAGGTAAATACTTAGTCTTTTTCTCCAATGTCCTCCTACACTGTGATGATTCCCTAGATGACGAGTCTTATTCGAGTTATCGATGCAGACAACATTCTTTTTTACCATTCATGCATTTCTGACAACATGTCTTCCTCGAATCTTCTTGGTCTTTGCTCCTCGTACGCAGCTAATTCCTTGATAGGCCTATACATTTAGCAGCCTTGAAGCTTCACTAACTTGACGACGTATGCGAAAGAATGGAAAGAGGTGTATGTAGGCACCCAATCTCCACCACCACCCTCACAATGATGAATCGACATATATAAAAGACAAGCATATGTCCAAGTCGGCTTCGCTGACCAAGACGATAATTGTCATGACTGATCAGTCGCAATACTTTGCTCATGTCTGTTGCTGATAACTAGCGTTGGATGCTGACATGTTCGATTAGTTGTCCCTATGTGTCACCCTTCTGGGAGATGGAGTTTCTACCTTTCCAGCACCACTTGCAATCCTGTCTGACAGTACGTACCTCCCTTTTCTTTCCTTTCTGATCCCATCTTCAAATGATGATTTACTTCTATTTAATCACGACGGTCAACATAATCATTCATTGATGACCACCGCCTGTGACAGGGCATGTATCTGACACCTTCCTTTTCATATCAATCTAAAAATGTTACATCGTCATGACTGGATGCTAACATATAACAGATGTCGTAAAGCTTGCTCACTGCCTTAAGCTCTCACAGATCCATCCTGCTTCCTTTGAAGCTGTTGTCTAGCCTGTTAGGAGATCTTCGCAATACAAACATCTTTAATTTGCAGCAGGTTAGCCTTAGTGATATACTTCAATGAAATAAAATCTTGCTTTCATACCTCTCCGCTTCAGCTGCTTTTCATCCCTTCTTCGTAGGACGATACTGGACACCATGCCCTTTTCATCGTCCGCAGTAACTAGTGAATGGGACTGCCAATTTTTTGACGTCCCGAGGACCATCTCACCTGGTCTGCGCTACCGCAACTTTAGTTTGTCGACAGACAATCTTATTAGATTCTGGACAACCCTAGGTGTGATAAGGAACCTCATTTGCCCATTGATGTCAATGCTGGGCGTGGAGTGACGGGGATGTCGACCTGTAAAAGCGCGCGGTTTCGTTGGGCTAAGCGCCAACACCACGCCGCGTGTGACGGGCGTCCCTAGGCTGCATCTCATGAAAGTATCAGGGCAGAATAGCTATGCCCGATTCTGCAGACTCTTGATAGTCTTGCTTATCCTGGCCGACGGTTCCATAGGCCCAGGTCTTTGATGTTATTTTTATCTCTTTCTCCAACAGCGGATCCGACGAGTTATGCCCGTTGAACGGCCGATTCGTCTCCCCCGTGCAAGCCTCCTCCGCGGCTGGTGGCACTAAGTGTTGCAAATAATAGAAATCTGCATCTCCTTCTCGTATCCTTCCATTGACCTGTCGCATTTGGTAGGTTCCAGGGTCTGTGTTATCGCTCCAGATTCTGATCCTATTCCTGTGCGCGGATCACAGCCATGGCCTCTTGTTTCGCTCCCTTTTGATCTTCCTGCCAGTATGAATAGGTGCGCAGGCCCCTTTTGCATACTACTCTTCTCTGGGTTTTCTCGTCTCGATCTCAAAAACAAAACAAAAAAAAAAAGGATAATTGTACTGATTACCGGCTGTCTATAGCTGGTTGTCTCCAAGTAATGCTGGTAACGGACCGCCGCTGAATTCATATCCTCACTCCGGCTGGCCGTCAACTCATGCCAGTACCAGCACTCAGCTGTCTCCAAATCGTCGAGAACATGCTGTGCAGCCGCCACCTATAACGACCTCGCTAGGTACTCATCAGGTTCAAGGGCTGGGAGTAGCACCGGGTCCTGGTTACGCATCCACGCCCCTCTCAACGACATCACTATCTAGTCCATTTACTCAAGCCTACTCGCCTGCGGTTGCTTCCCCTGGTGGCGCTATGTTAGGATCATCTCCCATGACGTCCAGACAGTACAATGTCCCTTATAATCCTCAGGATTGGGGGCCGGTGAGCGGTGCTACTTTGAATTCCGGACATCCTGCATATCAACAGACGAATAGTATGCTTCGTGTCGTGTCACATCCGCGACAGACCGCAGGTCATTCAGGTCCGTACCACCTTATTCTTCACTTCGTACGCCAGTTGTGGTTTCTTTCCGCAGTCAGCCCAAGGCGAACCAATGTCTGATCTGTACGTCTAATAGAAGAATCTTTATCACCGCCGCCCCCGCCTTACTCTCCTCCGAGCCAACAACTGCAGCATCGACAGTCAAGAGAGCATGTAAATCATGACAACTCGAATAGAGGCTCCGTATCCCCATCCGCCGTGCCATCATACCACGTTGAACCACATGTTGAATATAGGCAACGAGCCATTCCCCGAACTCGCCCCTATCAATGGTCGGTACAGGCGATGCAGGGCACGGAAGGCACATGTCACTTCCCCCGCCTCCTCCACTACCGCAAGGTGCTACAGGATCGAGGTCATCATCGCAGAGCCGCGTTGATACGTATGGCGATCGGGCTTCCTTTGGTACGGGGCAGAGACCGTCTACCGCCGTCTCTCAGGCTCAGGAGAGTCTGCAGTCTTCATCCTCGGCCAGTGAACAGTACCATATGACTCCTACTCCTCAATTTGATAATTTCACTCGTGCACCAGGCTCCAAAAGAGCTGTTTCCGCAGGTCCTATGGTCGGCAGTGCGAGCTCTTCTAGGGCCACGAGTCAATCTCGCAGTCATTCGCCGTCGACACATGGCTGGGAGCCAGGTATGCCGCTCCCGCCACCTCCTCCGGGGCCTCCTCCTACCGCCAGGTCGCAAAGTGTGAGTGGCCTCTCAGAGACATCGGGGATGCGGAACTCGCAGATCTCGACGCGAAGACGGCCGCCCCCGGTGATGGGAACTGGTTTGGATAGCATCCCACCAACTCCCGCCGGCTGGGTTGATGAGGGATCGGGCGAGGGCAGACACAGGCGGGATAGGGAACTCCCGAACATTGATACATCCAGCGCGGCCCTAGCTAACCGCGGGATTACTGGGTCAGAATCCAGGGATCCCACTCTCAGCTCTCAAAATTCAGCCAACAGTGGTCTCTTTCGTAGTCCAGCTATTCGAGACGCAAGCGCCAAAGGTATTCGCGAGAGGCGTATCGAACGCCGAAATAGACAGAGTCAAGTTTTCGAAGACTTCAGCGCCGTCTCAAGCAGTAGCAATCCTTGGGCCGATGCTCTAGATCAAGTGAAGCCTTCCGATCTCGTCCTTGACAACTCAAACCCTAGTCATGGAAACGGGCGGCACCCCAACTCAACAAAGTTTACGCCTCGAAGCACCGCTAGCGCCGGCTCTGACGGGCAGCAACTTGGCACACGGTCGAGGGCATCCTCTACAGGCCTGTTCTCAGGCCGTTCCTCCTTTTCCACTCCCAGAGCGGAACCCAGTCCGGCAGGGCAACCTCGCACCTTTGCGCAGACTCCGCCATTCTCACCCGACAACGAGAATGTATCCCCAACATTCGCTAAGGCCGCAGCCTCGCAGGCTTTGCCGCCAAAAGCTCTCCCAACGCCCCCGTTACAAACGGGCCAAGACGTGAGATCATCGGCTCGGTTGACCCCCAGTGAGGAACGTCCAGTTTCCCACATATTACACCTTCCTAACGATGCTTTGCCAGCTGTGGCTCCGTTGTCTCCCCGACGCCTGGCAGCACAGCAAGGATCGTCCCTGGACTCTGTTCTCAGTCAGGATTTGGGGTTTATTCGTGATGCCATGCAAAGACACAAAGAATTCATCGAGAAGGAGGCAAGCGCTGTCAACGAGACGGAGGCCTTGAGAATCTTCGCGGATTTCATCATTGGCGAGTCTCAGATCAGGCGCGAGAGATACGGCAAAGTCTGGGACTCGGGCACTTTCGATGTTGAGGCAGCGCGCCGCAAGCTGTTTGAATTACCGCCAAAGCCAATTGTCGAACCGCAGAACAACATTGCAGCCACTGTATCCCTTTCTCGGCAGCCTTCACGCGGGCCACGAGCAGTACCGGCATTAGACATACCTACAAGCCGCCCCGAATCTGCCTGGTGGAGCAATTACAAGCCTTGCTTGTCACCCATCGCGAGCATGAGTATGAGTAACGACGAGATGAGCTCCAGGGGCCGGGCACCCAGTCGCTGGTGGGAGTCGAAAACTGGCTCAGAGAGTGAGGGCGGCGAACGAAAGGTTCAGCGATCAAAGCGAGAGTCAAAGTACATGGGAGTGCCTCGGGAGGCTATGCAATGGGCGGAAGGGCAGGAGTCTCTCGGCGCGAGTCAACAGAGCTACGGATCAAATGCAACGAGTCAATACGCCGCTTATGGACCAGACGAATATCCGCCTGAAAAGGTCGGATGGCATGAGGATCAAGAGCCTACTCCCTCGGACTTCCCCAGTTCTGCGCCACGTCATGGAATTGGACGGACAAGGGAAGTCCAGAAACTCGATGTCTCGAGGTTGATTACTCTGCCACCACCGTATCCACGGCATCATCCTGCTGTCAACAACAGCCACCCGGATCTCGTTGCATACCGAACGCTGGTGCGATCAATCAGCGACCTCTCTGAACTCAAAGCAACAAGACAACGGCATCAATCCGAAGTGGAACGCTTATTAAAGAGCCATCGGGAGACAGTTGAGGAAGGTCGTCGGCAGTTCAAAGCCAACATTCAAAGCCAGATCCAGCAAGGTAGTATAACCTTCGCGGAGGCCGCCGAGGCTGAAGCCGCTCTAATCGAAGAAGAAAATCGACTTGAGAGGGAACTGGTTAAGAAAGAGCTGGATACGTACCAAGAGTCGGTCATGAACCCGATACATGCTATTCTAACGGACCGAATCAACCGAGCTACCACTTGCATAGACGAATTAATCGGAAAGTTGTTTGATGATGCACAGCACGAAACTCCGGACCAGACTCAAGAAGAGGGCGACGAGAAGCCGGAATTGTTGGAGAAGCTTAAACAGCTGAAATGGCTGTTCGAAGGCCGGGAAGGGTTGCATCGAGAAGCGTACGAGCTTGTTGCAGATCGCGATGAGAAGTATAAAGCCGTTGTCCTGCTACCCTATAGACAAAAGGGAAACGAGGAGAAGGTCCGCGAGACCACCGCCTTCTTTGCCCAAGATGCTCTTGACCGGCGGGCGGCGTACGAAGCGAAAGCACTGTCCCGTCTCGAATCCTTCCTAAGTGTAATCGAGGAGAATGTGGTTCGGGGGTCGAGGTGCAGCTGTCAGCGTTCTGGGACATTGCACCCTCTCTGCTGGCTCTGATCCAACAAATCCCGAACGACCTTCGTGGCTTTCAGATACAGATCCCTGCCAAAGAGTTTGAAGAGAACCCGAGTTACCACGAGCACCCGCTACAGTACCTCTACACGCTCCTGTCGCACGCGGAGAAATCCAGCTATCAGTTCATCGAGTCCCAAATTAATCTGTTCTGCCTGTTGCACGAAGTGAAGTCTGCTGTGATGGGAGCCAACTGTAAGCTTATGGAGGCCCAGCGTATCCGCCAGGGCGAAGCAGAGGATGCTGTGCGGCGTGAAATGCACGAATCCCGCGCAGATGAAGAGCTCGCGTTGACCAACGATCTGAAAGATAAAGTCGCTACAGTGGAGGGTCAATGGACTGAAGCTCTGGGGAGTCAGATACAGGACCTCCGAGAGCGAGTGAAGACGTATCTTATGAATGAAAATGGCTGGGAGGAATTGGAGCAGTTGGAAGAGGCATGAGACAGGACATCTGCTCGCTCCCTCGATGCTTTATCTACTTGTTTTGTGTTTACGAAGATACCCATATACGTTCGTTATGAGATACTCATGTTCAGGAGCTATATTATCAGTCTGACCTCATAGAGAGAAGATGTATCCGACCCATTGATATTGTGGTGCCCACTTCTCCTGGGTCCATATCACGTGATCGCTTGGCTTCTAGAGCTTTCCTTTTGAATCTGCTCAGCTTCGAAGTTTTTCCCACATCTGCTGCACTCCCGAGGGCAAACTGCTGTATTAATAACCACCCCTCCCCCATAACAGTATTCCCCTCTCTGCCTCTCTAGACCAGCACATCTCCCGCAGTAAGAAAGATTAATTGATCTACGTCTTCTGCAGCGTCCTTAATTTTGGACCTAGTCTGCGTGTCACTGTGAGTAATTCTTCCACCCGTCCCTTCACCGTTTCCCTATTGTTTGCAAGGCCATTGGACCTTGGCAACTATCTGAGACTCGCTTCATATGATGAGATATCATAGCTGGCACCAGTCAGACGGGGTGGTTATCAACCATTTCCACTGCTGATTAGCTCTGGTCCGGGAACGCTACCCGAGATCCCTGACAAGGAAGCACTCAATTTGCATTGGAATCTTCGCTCCACTCACATCAATTGCTTGACATTGGTTGCTAATGCCATTGCTTTGCAGAACCTAGTAACTCGGTTTCTCCGCCGCGAGCAAATCGTTCCCATATCAAGAACCTCCAGCTACAAAAGATCATCATGGTCCTCCACAACCCCAACAACTGGCACTGGGTGAATAAGGATGCCTCGGCTTGGGCCAAAAATTATTTGAAAGAGAAGCTCCGCACGCTGTCCGCTGAGGAAGATGGCGTCTCGGTGAAGATTTCGGACCTACTGACTATGGACGGCGACGTAGACGTCAGCCAGAGAAAGGGCAAGGTCATCACTTTGTTCGATGTCAAGTTACAGCTAGAGTACGAAGGTTCGTAAGACTCTTGCGGTTTAGCTATCCCGAGAGTATCACTAATAGCTCCCCCCATAGGTAAGACGAAGGACGAGGAGTCAGTTAGTGGCACCATTACTATTCCTGAGGTTGCCCACGACACGGAGGAGGATGAGTACGTTGTATGTGTCCCGTCCCGCCCGCCATACCTCAGTACCACCGGTTTCGTAGTTCGAGGAGTTAACAAAATGTTCTTGCTGTAGTTTGAGATCGAGAACTACTCTGATTCCGCCTCCAAGCAACCGGTGAAGGACTTCGTTCGTTCGAAGCTTGTTCCCCAAATCAGACAAGAGCTTGGCAAGCTTGCGCCCGCTTTGATCGCCGAGCACGGAAAGGACATCCAACATGCTCCTGGCGTTAACCCTTCCAGCGGTTTCGCTACACCACCCTCCTATCCCCAGACTTCCAAGAGTGCTAGCCCTGCTCCTCAGACGACAACAACCACCACCAACAAGGTCGCTGTCAACACCACCACAGTCACGGCCTCGGATGAGTTCCGCACCACCGCTGAGGAGATGTATACCACCTTCACTGACCCTCAACGTATCGCCGCTTTCACCCGTGGAGCACCTCGTCAATTTGACGGCGCGCAAGTTGGTGGAAAGTTCTCTATCTTCGATGGCAATGTCAATGGAGAATTTGTCAAGCTCGACAAGCCTAAGCAGATTGTCCAGAAATGGCGCCTGGCGCAATGGCCTGAAGGTCACTTCAGCACTCTCGAGATCAACTTCGATCAAAACGACGTTGATGCCGTCACCCAGATGCGTGTCACCTGGACCGGTGTTCCTGTCGGCCAGGAAGATGTGACCAAACAGAACTGGGACGTCTACTACGTCCGCAGCATCAAGCAGACTTTCGGGTATGTCATTCTTCCCTGTTCCAACATCCAATTGCTTCCTTACCATTGTCCTCTCAGATCTCATCCTACATCTTGGAGACAGTTGCTGATTGCTTTGCTTGTTCTTTTCGTCGGTATAGGTTTGGCACTATTCTCTGATCGCATCCGCCGACTCCTGGAAACCACATATTAAATAGTACTTGCCGATCGGAGGTTGAAGGCGTTTGAAAACCGTGCCTTCAGCAGCACGCCAGGGCGTGGCTCGTTCTGGGCTGGCATGGCCTTTGGTATCTCAAACGAGGCATCTGGAGCCTTTTGATTGCTGCCCCTTTGTAATTTTGACCCTCACTCATTCACACCCTTGAGGGTATAGCTCGATGAAGTTACGATAGAAAGTGAGATGATCACACCAATGTACAGACGAACTAGAATGCCAATTCTCGGTCTATGTAATGCCAATTATAATTTTAATGATATAGTTCTATTTTCTTCCCAATTTCTCTCCAATGTTCAAATGACTTCCAAACTGGTTGACCAATTGTCAAAACTTTTTGATCGTGAACATTGTCTTCATAGCCGTAGAAGTCTAATGATTTCATACAAAGAGGAAGCTTAGATGGTCTTCTCGATCATCTCAATGCCGTATTCCTCCTTGAGAGTCTTGAGGAGAGGCTCGCAGATATCCCAGGTCATGGGGGCAAGGACACCCTGAAATGAAGCGCACAGTCAGTTAGTCTCTGCTTAGTAACTCTAGAACGGGAAAATAATGTAGAAGACTCACCTTCTGGCTGATGGTACCATCGAGGACCAGCTTGACCGCAACACCGCAGGGGACACCGACGGTCTTGGCCATGGCGGAGTAACCCTTGGGATCACCGTACTCGACAAGGGTGCTGGTTCTGGTCTCCTTGGAGCCGTCCTTGTGCTCGATACCGAACTTGTGCTGCAGCATGACCATGTCCCGCTCGCCGGGGCCGTACTGCATCTTGCGCTCGAGAGTGGCGCAGAGAGTGTCGAGGGGGTTACCGCGGGGGTGATCTGCTCGTCGGAGAAGAGGCCGATCCAGCGAAGGCCGGAGATGAGGCGGTTGCGCGAATCGTTGTCGGTGAAGGTGGTCTTGGAGGCGATGGCCCACTCCAGGTCCTTCTCCTCCGAGGAGGTGGCGCCCAGGATCTTCTGCGTGGCCTCCTTCCAGGCGATGGGGGAGTTGAGGAAGTCCTGCGCCTCGTCGCTGAGGAAACCAATGTCCACCAGCACCTTGATCATCTCGGGAAGCCCTGGTAGCGCAGGGTGCCGCGGACGACGGTCTGGGCCTCGGGGATCTGGTAACGCTCGCGGTAGGGGCAGGAGTCACGGTTGGGGTAGGCGACGAAGGCGTAGCCGGGGTAGATGTAGTAGGGCTTGGCGGTAGCCATGAGGTCCGGGCCAGCAACGCTGAACTCCTTGCCATCCTTGTAAAACTTGGCAGCGTTTCTTAGAGCGAGAAGAACACCGCGGCTGGACCACGAGAACTTGTAACCCAACGGGTTGTCGGAGCACTCAGGGGCAGGGAGACCACCACAGTAGGAGAGGAAAGAAGTGATCTTACCACCCTCGGCGTGTACCTCGGAGATGGTCTTGACAGCGTACAAGTGGTCGATACCCTAGAAGCCGAGTCAGAAGAACAACTCAGATCCCAACATAAGAACGCAATGTAGGTGCTGAACGTACCGGGTCCAGACCAATCTCGTTCATAACTGTGATACCGGCCTTCTTGCATTCCTCATCCAACTCCATCATGGCAGGGGAGACGTATGAGGTGGTGACGACATGCTTCTTCGTGCGGATGGCGGACTTGATAACAAGGGCGTGGAAGGTGTAAGGAATCAGGGAAATAGCGAGGTCAACCTGCTCGAGAGCCTTGTCCAGAGCAGCGGCATCGTTAACATCGAGGGCAATAGCCTTGGTGTTGGGGAAGCCTTCGCAGAGCTTCTGGGCGCTCTCAAGGGTTCGGCAGGCTGCAAATCATAGCAACAATTTGTCAGTCTATGCGGATCCAATTCTGTGATGCAAATGAGACATCCAAGATACATCCATCCGGCTTGATCTGTTCAAGCCCGCTGCCACTGGTGCAGTGGGATCATGAAAGACATATGCAACCTCCAAGTAAGAAAGGAGTTATATGAGTATAGTGTATACGTACCAACAGTGACATGCACATCAGCCTTGGTGAGAACCTCAACGGTGGGCTTGGTGACTACCAGTCTATCAGCCAAAAAAGTCCAAGTGAATGCGGGGTTCCATGTCTCCAGAGATGATCAGGGGTAAAAGAGTCGTACCGAAGCCTGAGCCCAGAAGAAGGACCTTGGAACCAGCAATTTGCTTGACCATTTTGGTGATTGATAACAATTGAATGCCAGATAGGTGAATTGAGTCCAAGACAGGGAAAATCACTTGTGCTTCGACCGTTCCTCTCCCACCACTTCCCCGCTGTCGCCCTGTGGAGTGAGTCATGTGAAGTCACGTGTGACCCGTTTTTGGTGATAAGAGCTGCGGTATCGGAGACTTCATCTCCCCAGAATTGTTTACGTCCTCTTGTGATGAAGCTCACTTTCCAGAGGGAGATGTATTTATAGTGGTTATTATTTTAGTATCAGGTTAGGTGTCTTCGTCAATATATACAAATCGATACTTGTGGTATAATGTTTACTCCGTAGGAAAAACTCCAAACTCCCAGCTGCCCCATGCAATGGCCACATCATTTACAAGCCCTTGACCTTTCCACTGGAATTGAGTTCGGCATCAGAAGCTTCAGTGATGTCACCGTCAAAGTTTCCTTCAGCGTCGGGGTTCTTTTTCGACTTAGAGATCCTCCTTTGCCAGCCGAGAAGGACAGGCAGGAAGTGCCACAGGTCAAATTCGGGCCACAGGACATCCAGGAAGACAATCTCCGTGTCCTCATCGCACTGCCAGAGCATGAAGTCACTAAGACGTTCCACTCCTGATGTTCGGACCAGTAGATCAAGTGGGGGGTTGCCCTTGGTCAACATATGATCCGTTAGTGTCTGGCGAGTGATGGTGTCCGGTGATGGAAAAACAATCTTTCCCGATTCCGTTGAGTTCCCTAGCTCTGGAGCCTTCCCAGTTGCTGCGTCCTGATGCCCACCGAGATGTAGGGTTGTAGAGGAGGAGAACCCGGAACCCGCTTCATAGACCTTCTCTGGACCTTCACTTCCGTCACTTGGATCTTCTTCTGGTGTTGACGATACGGAGGTGGATTCGTTATCGCTAATTGTATCTTGTTCCACCTTCGCACTCTGTGCTTGAGCACGGATTTTGAGCGCAATTTGAGCCTCGGAAAAGGGTCTTCGTGCGGAAGAGTTCGAGCGGATGGATTTCAGGGGCTTGCTGTAATCGGCCACAGTATCGCGAATAGCACCGGTGATTTCATCTCGTGACGTATACGGGAAACAGATGTTAAGGACACGTTCACCATTGCGGCTGGTCATTTCCACAGCTCGGTTCACCGCTTCAAGGACGTCGGGCTTCAACAAGTCCAACCGACCCAGCACTCGAACCTTTGCTCCGTAGCGATCCAAAAGATCCCCGTGTTGTGCCATTTGTTGCAATTTCACTTTGGCCATATCCATCAATGCATCCACTTCGAACTTTGAGCGTTTGAAATTTTCGATACTAAATGCGTATATCGTCACAACTTTCACACCACATTTGTAGCAGACTTCAAGGATCTAGAGACCATCGCGAACAGTCAGCATCAGACGAATAACCCAAGAACCGGGTGGTCGCTTTTGTAGTAACAGGCAAATCTTCGAAAAGGGGCGGCTTACCCTTGCCAGAGCTTCAAATCCCAGATTATGCCCCTCAACAGTCTCAATGCCATGCGATCTTGCAAACCTCCGATTCCCATCCATAACAAATGCAATGTGCTGTGGGACCGGCCCCTGCTTGAGCGCTCCGATCAATAGCTCGCGCAGTCTGGCTATGATGAACTCGGCCGGAGGAGACGCGAGGAACCAATTCCGGAGCTTCGATAGGTGCATTGACGTAGCCATGGTGAATCGTGTAATTAATGATTCTGGTCGAAGGATCTAAAAGGAATGATGGCCTGTGGCTTCAGAGCACTGGTGACGCTGGCGGAATCTTTCTCTTGTCGAACGAGCGGACGGATGTCGGAGAGCGTCGTCAGGAGGTTGGAACTGTCCCAAATTTCTCGACACCAAGAGAACTGGAGTTTTGACGCTGGTCTCTCACACGGAAACTCCACCGACTAAGTATGATATGACAGGAAGAAGGTCTTAACTCGTAGGGCTGTGTCCATCAGGCTACACTATTTTCCTGCCAACGCGGAATCGAAGGTACTAAAATTGGACGCAAGCGGGCGGTGATTGATGTCGTAGGAGGCAAAATCGCCAAGCAAATGAGCAGACAGATAGCTGATCGACGGCTGTGAGCTGACAAGAAAGGACAATAGGAATGTAGATGAATAATTAATGCTGATAATAATAATGAGAAGGCCAGATCATCCAGTCCGCCAAAATGGTGGGTCAAAGTGCAATGTTGTACGGAGCATGTATCTATATCTAGGGTATTCTACCAAACATTCCTGGCCCACGTGTAAACTGTGGTTCAAACGTCCAACGTCCGAGGTCTTGGCCGGCCTATTCCGTTCATCATCAACGGCAACGGCAAAGTTATCCGCAATAGAAATAGATAGATCTACTTCATATGCTTGTGCTCTTCTCCACGCAAAGCATCGTACATTCAGGGCCACTTCTTGAAGGCTGGCAGTGACCACCGGATTACATCAATGTATTCTGGCTAAGAATTGATGCCATCGATATAACGCCTGAAAGAAGAGGCAGGAAGAGCATACTGGCAGTTGCTGTTTAAGAGAAGGAGAGTTTACAGGCATCAGATCACTGTCTCATTACATATATACATTCTAGCAGGTATCAGAACCTAAGCTAGCCAATACACAAGATGTTCATTCCATGATTCATCGACATTAGTGAAAGGACCGAAACACATGCACCAACCTAGCGCTCATGTGCGGAATACATGGCTATCGCGGTCCCACATATCCGACTTTATAAATCTTTCCGGCTTCCTTCACTTGAAGGCGTGCCTGGTCCAGAGCTGGCCATGTCCCAGCTTCCATCCTCGCTTCTCCGGCGCCTGCGTTCGCCCCGTTCGCGCATAGCGTCGCGAATCTTCGAGCTGACTTCTTCAAACCCGTCTTTCGTTGTCACCTGGCTCAATGGCTTCAACTGTTGTCCTGAGGAGCCAGGTCGACCCCCAAACGAGCCACTACGGCTTCGAGAGCGGCTCGAAGGTCTCGTAGAGAAAAAGCCAATGTTGGAAAGGTTGTGGAATGACTCATTGCGAGGAAGAGGCTCTTGTGTTGGAGATTCCACCTCCGTATCTGTTGCGCTAGTTCTTCTGATTTCAGGCACGGCTGCATGATCAACCTCTCTCTTTCCGGCTGGTCGGTGATCTTCACGGAAGGGATCCGTGACGATCCTTGCGGCATCAAAGTCTGGGAATAACTCTGGGCCCAGAGTATTTATGACTTCAGTGACTTGTTGAGCGAGTGCCGCGCGTCTTTCGCGCACCTTCACAAGAGTATTGGCTGAGGAAGGATTCAAAGATAGCACCAATGGTCTCAGAGATTTCACGATATCCATGCCCACCTCGCCGATGCGAAGCGCCGCGAAAGTAATGGTTGGGAATAGGATCATCCCGATAGGCACGATCAACCACAAAGGCATCCAGTCAGGAACAAGCCCCTGGATACGGTTGTGGTACGCCCACCAGGTAAAGGCTGCAGTGTAGAATGCATACACTGCGGGGGCGAAAGCAAGGGCGACGAGTAGCTTCCAGGTTGCCATGACATCACGTCCTTGAAGTTTCACGGTAGATGCGGCCAGTGCTTCTTGCGACTTCTTCTTGGAGATGTATTTCGTTGCAATGAAAACAGGTGCAAAAAGAATCAAGCCAGGCAGTGTCCCGATGGTCAAGAGAGCTAATTTGCCCAGACGATAAATCAAGGTGGCAATGACCTGAATCCACGAGAACTTCGCATACTCGACCTGATGATCACGGATCCCTAGAAGACGGAGTTGCTTGTTGTAGTCGGCAACGCCCTTTCTGAGATGAATCACACGAGGGTCATCCTTAAAGTGGGTATAACCTTTAACAAGGCGGCGGTTGAGCTCGACCACCATGGGAAGCGGGAGGTTTTTTCCCTTGGTGTTATACAGGCGACGAGCGGCTTGAATTACCTAGAAATCTATGTCAGTCCACAAATTCCATGGTCAGAAAGGGCGAGTTCACCAACCATCAAAGTCTCATAATCAGGACTAGTTACGGTTACAGATACAAGACCCTGATAAATGGTGTCGAGCAGTGCGCCGACGGCTTCTCTTCTTTCACCTCGTTTGAACTGATCTACCACCTCCCTTGGTACCTCTATAGGGTTACCAAACTCAATCACGGCCCTTGAACGGAATTTATGAGCGTGGAAATAGTTCATTCCGCATGGAACGATCTTCAAGCCACAGTCCGGATTGTCCGCCAGAGTACCTAGCGCCATCAATGCCACACCAGCTAGAGTTCAATCAGCCGAGGTTCCCGCAAGCAATGAGGGGAATCGAAGGGAAAGAGCTATACCTTTCAATGGAAGTAGGTTTGGCCTGTCATGGCTGCCACCTTCTGGAAAGATACCCACACAGCCACCTGCGTTGAGTCTGCCGAATACTGCTTGGTAGACGGCTGTCTGATCGACGTGAGGTGCTACTTTGAACTTGGATCCTTGAAAGTCGGGGTCTTTGGCGGAGCCGTCCCCGGTGAATGTTCCATCATCAGCGATATCATGGCGTCCCGTGAGCTGGAAAAGTGCGTCCTTGGCTTTGAACGGTTTCTTGATTATCAATTCTTCTGGACCGCGGATTTCAGCGATGGTAGCACTGTGCGAAATACCATTGATGGTAGGAAGAGAGATTGTGCCTTCCTTTTCAAACTCAGGCCCTTCAAAGTTGGTCCCCACCCCTCGCAAAAGAGTCGGCTGATTAACAGGATCAGGCAAATATATAGTTCCAACACCAGGTTTCACATTATCCATCGCTCGAGCAACCGGGACAGTTCCTATTCCCCTAGCCAACAACCCGATGAATTTGCGCTTGAAGGATTTCTCTGCAATGAGCCATGAAATGCGACGGTGGGCTTCGTTACGCAACACTCGCATCAGGATCAACGAATCGACAAACTATCATAGTGTTGCAAAAGTCAGCGACTGGAAGATATAGCAAGAAGGAGCATGAAGCAAGCGCTACAGCCGAAGACAAATATATATGTATGGAAACATGAATGAACAGAAACCAACCTGATTCGCATGAGGCGCTGCAACGAGGATCAACGGACCCCTCCGAGGGATCTTCCAAGAACCGCGAGGATGAACTTCCCGGAAGAACAGGTCAATTAGCACCGAGAATGACCATAAGACCAAATCATATAGCCACCCAATTAGAGGCGGGATATATGGTTGTTTCGTCCCCATGATGCCGTAGAATAGATCGAAATGCCCTTGAGCCGATCGTCACTCTTTGCACCTAGCTGCGGCGATTGCTCAAGGCCGAGGAAACAATATGAATCTCTAATGGACCAGTCTCTCGAATCGTGACTTGCTTCCCAGTCGCTGTCTTATCTCGAAATGATGAAGCCGGAAGCACGCGTCGATGCGACCGAACCGGACATGCGCCTTCAAGACCGAACCACCTTGATCGAACTTATTTTAGTCAATTCCCGGGATTTTGAGTATAAGAGCTGTGAAGTCTTACTGTCTTTAGTTAAGGTCTTGAAATCAGAAGCTTAGGGGGGAAAAGCTGAAAAGTAGCTATGTAGGTAGCGAGCAAAGACTACCCATGTGACACTCCTTGGCTTAAATAATAATGTCATAGAGCACCTTTTTAACTATAGTGGGGGAGCACAGGAGGTCCCAAAAACCTGCGGTTTCGCCGTTTGTGCACGGACTGCACACCGGATTGGTTGAAAAACAGCGACGCTTCTAGAACTGCGACTACACAATCACCTCTTAATTAAGTATAGAGGAGATACTATCTAGATAATGCATCTATCTGCTAATGTCTCAGGAGACAGTATTAGCTGCGTCTCTGTTGCACTATTTGCACACGAGATTTTTTGTTCAGCCAAGTTTCCCTTTTCTATCGTCCATTACACGACATCTATTTGGTCCTACCTTACTGTATCAACCAGAATCATCAGGGTCGTCTACAAGTTGATAACTATCACTGATGACATACAGTCAGGCTCGTAGGTACCACTTGGCCCTTTTCTTCAGTAGTACGAGACCTGGAGCTGCCAGCAGGTGTCCATGGGTCTGATGATCTGGTCCTAAACTCAATTATGCGGGGAGCTCGAATCTTTTGATAGTTTATGGGCAAGGTCCGGATCTTTACATTTCGGTGCCCAATCAATCGTTAATCGAAGAGGGTTGATCATTTAACAATCGCCTGAGATTGCTCGCTGAGGATCAGTATGACCTGGACAGTGTCTGAGGAGATGTTTGCTACTTGCCACATTCTTCGAAAACACCTAATGATTTCATAGGTATGCTTGAAGGTCTCTTGGCAAAAGGCATCGCTCTTTGAATCGCTGAACCTAAGCTATAAAGGTCTGATGTGCTGCTTCTGCTCCAAGGTCAAAGGTGCCAGTTGCTGATAGCACTGCGATTGTTTTAGTGGAAAAATATACATAGGTCTGGTCATCCGCTTCGAGTATACTGATGCTGTCATTATAGCCACCTTAGCAGTCACGAAGCACTGTTAGCGGTATCATAGGTGCTAATAGAAATCCATCAGAATGGCATCTTCAGCTATATACTGGATGAAGCTCCCACATCCACCTGGGTTCGTGACAGATGTCAGTGCTGCCTCAACCCCAAGGGAAAGACTTCAGCACAAACCCGACGATGCATTATATGAGCAGTGTATAGCTGCGACTCAGAGATCACTGAATGTTGTTGTCCTTCTCTACCGATGCTCACTTACAGCTGGGCTTCGAGGGTTGCGTCCGCCTGGTAGACACTACTGCTGGGACTCTTCTATTTGCAGCTTCAGTCCTGTTCATGTTTCTATCGGCACCATGGCCGGACCTAACATGGCCCCGTGCCGCGCTGTGATCGGTCCACTTTACAAATACTAGCCATGAAGTGAAGCATTTTTGGTGATATTAGGCACGCTGCAAAAGCAGCCTTAGACTCAAAGTCCAATGGACAGCGCCTTGATGAAGGAGGATCCCGTTTGTCAGGAACCCAGCAGACAGTGCACACTGCCTTCCGGACACGAGAGGTGTGCTTTTATATTGGGTGATTGCAGCGAGCGTGCGAAGTAGCTGTGTTTTTGAGCAAACAATTCTATGTGCAGTCCACCACGATAGCGGATAAATACGTCATCTACGTTGTAATAGATAGCATAACGTTTCTTCCGCAAACTTAGAAGAGAACACTGCAGTAACTTGATACTATGTAAAGCTGATGGATAGGTGCTGATCAGATTGAGATAAGGAGCATCAAGGAGGAATAATAAGTTGGTGTTGGGAATGCGCTCCTCAAACGGTTTGCGTCGGTAATCCTGGTGGATACAGCAAGAAAGTTCTCGCAGCAGCCTCCAATTGTTTCAGTGTTTGCCATCCCGATAAGGCACCCAGGTCCTAACCGTCCATATGATGCGAAGTCAGAGACAAAGTCTCAAGGCAAAGGCTATCGAATTATGCTCTATCTTGTCCGCTCATGAACGCCTAATACATATCACACTGCCGCTTTTAGTACCAATTTCAGTGTCCTCAATCTCCCCGCTCAGAAAGCTGCCCCACGCTACGGAGCACATAGCGAGTATATAGTGCGGATCGTCGCGAATATCACGCAGCTACGGGTCCAAACTACCGGCTTTATCACTGTTGACATTACTTTGGTTATTCTCAAACACGGCGACGGATTTTGCTAGAAAATATCCGAAGGTGAAGATTTACCATCACTCTAACTAGCTGCAGCATTCACACAGCGTGAACCACTAGCAAGGCTGTTAAACTGGGCTTTGACCAACAGGTCTGACCATCTGGTCCGCATCTGTTTCTACTTTATGAAGAGTCATTCAATAGGTCGACACCAAGACTATCGATAATAGCGCCTGAGCCCAAGCGCGAGCGCATATATCGACACGTTTACTGGAATATTGGAGCCGGCCAGCCAAGATGTCAATCAAGTATGTGGAGCGACCCTAGGTTCAGCCGCCGTCTCTTCATTGTTATGCATAGTACCTGCATCGCTAGTCATTTGTCTCAATTATTCTGCCTTCACCCTGATTGCCTGTGAAATGCATTGAGATATCTCTGACGTTGGACTGTACAGCTGGGTGATGCTCCATGACCGTGAAGGCTTCGTCAAACTTCCAAATGAGCAGTTGATATACACCTCTCCGCCGCGCACGAGTCTCTCTCTGCAACCGCTCAGTTCGTACACTGGCAGGGATTCAATATCCGTGCAGAGCAGTGCCGGCCAGATCTATCTTACCAATCAGCGGGTCAGAAGACTCTTTTCATCATTTTCTCCTCGAAAGTCTGCTAACATCAATGATAGGTTGTCTATATTCCCTCTCAGAAGGCAAAAGACTTTCAATCATTTTCGGCTCCGCTTCTCAACGTACATGACTCGCACGTTACTGCACCATTTTTCGGTCCAAATCAGTGGATAGCCCTTGTCCAACCCGTGTCTGGAGGAGGGATTCCCCCGTCATTGCCAGCCGTTCAACTGAAGGTAACTTTCAAAGAGGGAGGCGCGTTCGACTTCCACAATAACTTCGAGAGACTCAAGGAGCGTATGCAACAGGCACTTGAGCTCTCACAAGAAAGCGTCCGAGGATCGGGAAACGTTGATCTCTCTACAATCCACCTGGAAGAGTTGCCCGCCTACACGGGGCCGCAGGGTGATATGACTGGAGTTCACTCTCATGACCAAGGTCTATCTCCGGACTCGTACAGTTGCCAGGACAGTGCAGGGACAGAAGCCGAACCATTGGATCCACCGCCAGGCTACGAAGAAGTTCAGCAACAGAGTGTTGCCAACGAACTCGAAGAAAGGCTACGCCGTGCCAGTTGACGCCGAGTGGGAGGCGATTCTGATAATTCTAGACATTGAGCAATCTTGCTTACACATTCTCCATCTTCGCGACTGTTCCCTTTCTCTTGTCTTTTCGTCAAAGCTATTCCCATTACATTATGAGATATCTCCAGGTTAATGTACAATAATTGGGAGATTAATCACTCATCGCGATAAAATAGGACACAGAAGGGGCTCAAGTCCGAGAAATCATCCGCCAGGGATCCCTTCTCTGTATGAATGATCCATCGAGCCGTACAGATAGTGTGAGCTGTAGAGAAATGAAGAATGAGTGGTTTATTAAACAGCACAGGTACAGAAGTATCCCTCCCGGAGCGTCAGCCAATCACGTGTGCGACAATTCGACCTCCCCCGGCGCCGGGGTGTTCCGATTTTCCTGGACGGTCGGAGCCAAAGCTTCGTAAAACCACCATCCTCATCAAATCTCGCTCGCTGCTGCCATTGCATCCCCACACTCTCGACTCCAGACCCTCCATTCTCGTCAATTGATACTTTCACACGGTCAGGATGGGTCTCGCCGACTTTTTCTCCGATATGATCTCCTCCCTGAGCTTCCCCGAGGCTCAGGCTGAGGCACCCGCCGAGACCGTCGAGCAGACCAGCCAGGAGGCTGAATCCGAGAACAAGTCCGACGTGAGCGAGGAGAATACCGAGGAAGAGAGCACCGCGAGCACCGAGGAGTCTGGTGAGGAGACCCCTGCTGAGGAGTCTTCCGAGGAAAGCCAGGAAGAGCCCGAGGAGGAAGAGGAGCCCGAGGAGGAGGAAGAAGAAGAGGAGGAAGAGGAGGCTGTCGACGTCAAGCCCAAGCTTGAAGAGGGTGAGTAACTCATTGTCGACCTGGAGATTTTCCGTTTGCCCGCCTACGGCGTTGGGTCGCTTTGTTGCGTATTCATGGAAGTGAATACACACGCTTTCAAATCTCCGGTTGTCCGCATCATTGTAGGATTGTCTGGACACCGCGCAAAGATCCAACCTCTATTTACTCATCCAGCATTGCTATGCGATACTTACTGACCTTATCATAAACAGACTGCGCCAACGGTCCCCAGTGCGCCCCCTACAAGCACCACTACGATGAATGCGTTGAGCGCGTAACCCGGCAGGAGGAGGACCCTGACCACAAGGGCCCCAAGGAGGACTGTGTTGAGGAGTGTAAGTGACCTAGTTTGATTATTTGAGATTGGGCTAGCCTCGTTGGCCTTCAAGATGTGTTCGTGAGATTTCCGACTAATGCTGGCTTTGCCTGTTAACAGTCTTCCACCTCGCCCACTGCGCAACCAACTGCGCTGCCCCCAAGCTCTGGAAGGCTCTCAAATAAGCGCTTCGCCCTCGAACTGACTCCTGCTGCTCTTTTTCAGCATTCAACGACAAGCGAAACCCAAGATGCCACGTTGGTTATCTGATCGGATAGAAGAAGAGCTTGAGGAGTTGAATAGAAGTACATGATGGCCGGCATAATTGAATGTCAGCCTGCCGATATAGAACCCGGCATCGAATGAGCACGGGGCGTTCTTGACCGGTTTATATGCTGGAAATGGAACGGTCCTATTATTCTGCTGTCGGCCTTGTTATGTTACGGTATGGAGGATGGTAAAAAATGGCATCCTTTGCCTGTATGTACAGATAGCTGGTCTCCGCCTGTTTGAAACTGTGCTTTTGCATTATGCTTTGTTTTAGAATCAATGTTTCCGCTTTGCTTAGACTTGTGGTGCTCTCCCTCTCCGTGACCTGGTGGCTGTAGATTGTCCTTCCATGATTGAATGTACAATTGAGTACTCAACAGCGGACTTTGACGTTAAATTTCACCTCAACTGGTATCTCAGAAAACATTACATTTACACAAGATCATTATTGATAAATCTCACCAAAAACTTAACAGTCAAAAAGGGGAGCACTGCATAAAACGAGTAAGGAAAATAGTTGCGGATAACGGAACTAGATCGCTCAAAGCATTGATGACACACTGACTCGTTACCCAAGAATATTTTTCAAATCATCCTCAAGCTGAGTCTTTAGGCGCCAGCTTGGGCAAGTCAGAAGCATGATCCAGTCCGGTACTGCGGTTCTCATCACCTACGCGCACGCCTGCACTGGCCGCCTCGCGGCCCCGGAAAACAGTATCTTCCAAGGGGACACCACGATCGACATCCAACCGGCGGCGGCGGACATCCCGCCCAAACAACCCGATGCAGATAGGAAACGGCGCCGCAACAGCTGCCACGACGGCTGCGAAAATCAAGGCATTTCTCATGTTCTGGGGCGGCGAGGCGTTGTCCGAGGCTTTCAGGGCGTCCTGGATGAGGATGAACACCGCGCCTAGAAGCTGGCCCCCTGTCCAGCAGATGGTGCTTCCTATCTCGGGCGAGAAGGGGTACGTGATCTCTACGAGGTACTCGAGCACGACGGGGAGGAGGCCGAAGGAGGATGCCCCGAGGAGGGCGCAGACGACGTATGCCGGGGCAATGCCTGCTGGGCTGGACGGGGCGAAGATGAGGGCGATGTAGCAGATGGCGACGATGGGGACCAGGACCCGGATGGTGCCGAGGTAATGCTTGAAGCGGTCGGTGATTGGGGAGATGATGGCCGAACTGATGAGTCCGACGATGATGAGGACGCCGCCTGCGATGCCGGCGTCTGTTTCGGAGAAGCCGTGTGGTTCGAGAATCTGGTTCAGGAGGGAGGAGACGCTGTTGAAGAAGCCCACGTAGACGGAGAAGGGGATCAGGATGAGCCAGAACTCGAGGGTTTTGAGGAGCTGAATCAGCGCGGGACGGAGGGGTGTTTTACTGCCCGCTGATGAAGCACTTGGGGGCGTTGGTGGTGCGGCTGGAATGAAGAATGATGGGATTGATGCGACGGTTGCCTGTCAAATTATGGGTGCGATCAGTATTGCTCTGCTGATATGGGTTGCTTTACGACAATTCACTTCTGCTGATGGGATCGACGATGCACCTACAATGATCGATATGTACAGAACCATATCTGGAACCTGATCGGGGGTTGTCGCCCAGAACGAATCGATCAACTGCCCCAAGGCTGCTCCCAAAGGGTTGGCCAGAGTTGCAACGGCTGTTGCGCTAATGCGCCCTTGATCGGAAAACCAGAGATCGCTGTACCTTGTCGGCGCACTCAAGCAGAATGGTTGCGCCAGACCGATGAGGATCTGCCCAAACATGGCCACACCAAAGATGCCTCCCTGGGCTTTCGTTCCGGCATATCGAATCCAGTTGCCCACGAGCAGGAGTGCGGAGGTAGTGACGATGGCAGGTTTGGGACCGCCTTTGTTAAGAGTGAGGATGACAACTGGACTGGCGACGCAAAAGGCAAAGAGATAGCCAGTGCTCATCCAATTGATGGCGGTTTCGGAGACACCAAAATGCTGCGATGCGGTGGTGGATATAGAAGAAAAGGTGAGCCACTGAGTTTCTCAGGACCGTGCAAACATTAGCCAAATTCTGGTTCTGCGTCTGTTGTTAAGAAAGCGCACTTACATCCCAGCTGACGACAATATTCAGCAAAACCAGTTGAGCCAGTCCCCAAAATCGTCGTTTATACACCTTGTACACAGTCACCGTAGGAAACGGGTCTGGTGATAGGATACCATGTTGGGAATCGGCTGCGGAGTGACCTGCGGGCATCTTGGATGCTTGCGACACAGACATGTCGACTGGAATACCATGACTCCGGACGGCAGAGGATGGGGCAGGAGATATCTATTAATGCAACGAGGAGAAGAGCGAGACTTTGCCAGACGAAGCGAGTTGTCACTGGCCGTCCACATGCTGTTTAATATCAGTTAGTTGCTTTAGTTCGTCGACATCCTTGTCGGTAGTGAACCCCGGCGTTATTTATGAGAGAGAGAGTGTTTCATTTCCTCCACCAAGCAGATAGTCCTTGAATCCTTTGGTTTTCTTGTTGGGGTTCTTCCGAGGCTCCTAACTTTAGTACGTAGTTACATATGGATAGTGAACGTGAGTCCGAGTCAAAGACAGACCAGATAAAGTGATCATGAGGGCGCGTGCGATCGACTGTGGGGTAATGAGGCTAGATACGGAGTCCTCCGGAGCTACTCGTGGATTAGATATTATGCTCCGCTTGCAATCATCATACTGCCAATCGGTTGTCAGTAGCATAGCACCACTGTTTCATCTTATTTCGAACAGTTCACTATGTTAATTAAAAGTGTGGTTGAATTCTGGACTAGGTAGACGAGTTTAAGGATAATATATCCTGGATGCTGGCTATACTATCTACATGAACATGTCTCGTGTATTTTCGTCCGCGCATAAAAGATCCGAGGAATCAATCATCAACTGTCAACCGAAGATGGATCAGTTCCAGTTACTGTTGCACGAGTCCCGTATACCCATCAGATAGAGAACTTGCTTCGCTCTGGTCAACTTGAGACACCTATTCTGTGTGCATACCTCCAGCTGTGTTCAACGTACTCCGTAGCCGAGGAGATCATCTCAGATGCGCCATCATCTTGGGATTTATGATTGTGCAGAAGACCTGGTCTAATTCTTCAAGGTTCAGGCAGCCATAGGCAATTCCACAGATCATTTTGATCGTTGATATCGAATACTGTGGATCTGATCCTTTGCGGAACAAAGCAAGCCTTCCTGCACCTAAGCAAAAGACGAAACCATTGGCCAGATACCTCGTACCTTGATAAGTCTGGATTTCAGGGGAACCATCTGGGGCTGAACCAGGGGTTGGTTAAGGAACCATATTGTCCTGGGATCACAGTATCAAGTCACAAGTGAATATTGTCTAGACCACTATCAAAACGAGATCGATCAGATAGGGGAGATCATCTTATGCATTCCACAAGTCTAATTGGTGATCCAGAATGTGAGGGGAGTCTCTGTTGATTCCATTCCTTTGTTACCTATCTAAGCACCTCCTAAGAAGCCAAGATGCAGAAAAACAACAAATCATATGCATGTAGTTGCTACCAGTCATATCGTTTCTCCAGAACATAGATAGCTCATGCGACTGTTATTATATTCTCAATCATGTCAAAACTATTTTGATGAATGATGTTCCTGTGAATGTTGATCCCTCATATTATGGTGTGTTGGCCGGTCCTTCAGGTAGCCTCCTCCTCTTCTTCTAAGTTAGAATTTAGACTTGCTGATCTTCTTCGCTCTTCAATCCCCCAAGGTCATTTTTCCCTCCCACCTTATCCACTCTAATACCCTCTGAATAACTGCCTTTTACTCTGTTATATCACTTTTCACACGAATCGCTGTCCATTGACCTCGGTTGACGTGGAAGTAGCTGCTGCCTTATGATAATGAACCCTGTTTGGTGACGGCTCGTCCCTGAGACAATTCTCCACACCAATCCATTGCCGCATTCCACCGCGCGTTTCATCGAGATATTTCCTCTCTAGAAGTCGAGATGAACGATCACGATCGCTTTAGCCAGTCATCCTATGGCGACCCGAGATACCTGTCGTCCGCCTCCTTTGAGGCCGCTCCGGCCCCTCCGGCCCCTCCAGCCAAGGTTCTCATGGACGGCTACCGCGAGACCTTCGAGCCTCAATATGCGGAGAAATTGCGATACAATCCAGTGCGTTGAAGCCTCACTCGGTTTCTCCCTCATATTGAACCATGCTTTTAACACAACTATTCTTATAGCTCAATCCGAGCCAGCCACAAAGTCCAGCTTTACTGAACGCCAACGACCCCGTCGCCATGTACCTACTCACCGAAACCGCTATGGGGGACAGCATGAACTATGAGATAATGTCTTTGGAGGAAGTTGAGGCTCTGAAGAAAGATTACTCCTTTCTGTCCAGTCGCCTAAACGCAGCCAAACGGAAATTAGCCCTGGAAATGAAACTGCGCGACGCGGCTCTGTCGCTTAGCAGATTAAACAACTCAACAAACCGTAGGGCTAGCGAAGAATACAACGCCGGAATCTCCCCGAAGTCTCATCCCAGTCACAGAAATGGGTTCGGCGCTACGGACTCTTTGGACAAAACGGACGAGGAACTGGCGGAGAGCACGCGAAAGTGCGAGGAGCTGGCTAATCAAATCTGGAACTTGGAACGCAAGGCGCAGCATGTACGCCAGAGGTTATTGGAACATACAGCCGGTGTTCTACAGATGACGCATAAGGGGTTGAAGAAGAACCTGAGGAATGTTCCACATACACCGGAGAGCCTCTCTAGCCACAACACCCGCGGCAGTATCGACGACTTTGACGACAGAAGCTTGTACAAGACGTCAGACAATCTTGATGGGCCAGCTGGTCCCGGTAGCCAAGAGATGATTGGGCTTGAAGTTATCGGTAATACCGAAAGAAGGCTGGAGGCTTTGAGTGAGAACCTGCGCGACATGGTTTTAAGGCTGCAACCTGAGAGCGACTATGATGCGATTCCTCGAACTTCGGATGATGCGACATCGATCAATCCCACAGCGACAGTCGAAGCGCTCCTCGCTTACATTGAGCGTGGTTTGAATATAATTGCTGCAAAATCGGCTGAGACACCGCGCGCCTTGGAGTCGGAACACGGTACAGAGAACCATTTAGTGGAAATCAATGCCCGACTACACCACATCGTAGGGCAATCTGGATTGTCTCGCTCACAGGCTCTCTCTCCTCCCCCGGCGTCGTCAGGGAATGGCCTACAAGAACATTTCGATTACCTGAATCTTGGTATTGATGACCTTCATAGCCAGATTGAGAAGCTCCTCGAACAGAAGAGCATCTTAACCACTCAAATTCAGCAACAGCGGGAATTAAACTCCAAATCGGACGCGGAACGAGATGCACACATAGCCGATCTGGTCGAGCAGATCGCTCATCTCCGGAAAGACCTCGAGCTGTCTGAGCAGGGTGCTCAGAGTGCAAAGGATGAACTCGACCTGGCAATCAAGCAACTCGAAGCTCTACGTCAGGAACTCAACGACCTTCAACAACAGAAGGGCGTCGCCGAAGATCACGCGAGCGCTTTGGCATCCGAAAAAGAAGCTCGAGTGCATGCGGAGGCGGAACTGTCGCGCTTACAGACTGTCATCCAGGAACTTAAGCAGGGGAGGGACGCGCAGATGGAAGCTGATGAAGCCCGTGTGCGGGCTGAGCACGAGGTCGCTCGTCTGGAATCCCATCTTGAACAGCTTCGATCCGAAAGCGCCTCTCAAACAGAGGAACTCACTGCCGCTCGCTTGAAGGCAGACAGTGAAGTCACACGTCTGCAGAGTGTGGTTGATCAACTTCGTCAGGAGGCAAACGCTAGAGCTGAAGAAGCTGTCGAGGCCCGGGACCGAGCCGAACAACAAGTACTGCAGCTGGAGCAGACGATGCAGCAAGTTCGCAACGATGCTGATGCACGGATCAAGGAAGCCTTAGATTCTCGCGTCGCGGCAGAAGAGAGTGCGACTCGGCTGCAGGCTGAATTGAGTGAAATGGCCAGCGAGGTTTCTCGGCTGCAAGACGCTATGGAAAAGCTTCGCGTTGACATGGAGTCGCGGCTCAGAGAAGCAGCTGAGGGACGCACAAACGCAGAACAGAGCGCGAGTCGTCTGCAGGCTGAATTGACAGAAATGGAAGGCGAAGTAGTCAGGGTACAAACGGAACTGACAATGGCCAAAGCGGAGCTCGATGGTGCGTACGGTAGCAGAGCCCAACGAGCAGCAGAGGTGGCCGCCAATCCAGCTATCCAAAAGGAACTTGATGCCTTGAACACTAGGAATCTTGAGCTTGCGGAGGAGCTCGCAGCCCTCAAAGCCGGAAAGCCTGGTAGCAGCGATCTGCAGCAGCGAGTGCAGATGCTGGAAAGGGAACTCCGGGAAACTATTGACGATTATGAAATCATGACCAAGGCCAGCATCGAGTTCGAGAAAGAACGTGAGAGGTACGAAGGTATGATTGACGGTCTACGTGACCGCTGCGAGCAACTGGAGACGCAGCTCAATGAGGAGCGAATCAATTGGATGGGTATCAACAACGCAGTGGGACGAGATGGCACGTATGAGACCACTTCTACAATGGTCCTGAAGAATGAATTCAAGAAAATGATGCGTGACACTCGCATTGAGAACATGAAGATCCTCAAGGTTAGTTACAATGTCGCGGCCTTCCGTTGCCATTATTCCAGGCTAACCTATCTGTGCAGGCGGAACAAGAAGAACGAAGACGACTAGAGACTCAGATTCGGAATCTGAAGAAAGAACAAGCAGCAAGCACTGGCAAGTCGAGTCTCAGCCACAGCGTCACGGCTTTATGACCATGATATCCTATAGACTTTCTTTTTTATTTTCGGTTACCCCAGCTTTGTTGTGGACTGTCAGTCAGTACAGCCAATACTTTCAATGTGCATATTAGTCTCTAATTCCCTCCATGTACTATTTCGGAACTCTGCCCATTTGTGTCTATATTTGTCTCCGCACATATAATAACGAAGCTGACAATGTATCATCAATCGTCTTGCTTGATATCACTTTCCGTTTTTGGGTGCTTCATCCGTATTCCTGCTCCTGCCTTGTGATGAAGGTTGCGGAAGGTGCACAGGGCCGTAAGGAGGCCTGTTGGCGAACATTGCATCCCACGCTCCCGATCCTCGCACGCACTTGGTGCACAGCGTCTTCTGCAGCCTTACTGAGCATCCATTGTTATTCTTTCGTTCATGACTCCTGTTTGTCATTGAACATGTCACTCCGATGTCGTCCTGTCTCCACCGAGTCTGTGTCCTCCGATCGACAGTCATTTCTTAATGGACGAAAGACATATCATGGAAATGTACGAAACACGAATACAGGTCTGTCTGTGCCATTGGCCAGCGACGAAAGCTCCATCTACAATGCTGCCAGAGCGGGTTCCGTCGACGACCGTTATTCATTGACCCGTAGCACTGATAATCCCATGGACGAAATCTTACACAGTGGGATGGCACCGAATATGGCCATGTTCATTCCTTTAGCCCATGAAGCACATGCTTCTCACGCTCTCTATCTCTCAAAAGAGCAGATGATCAAAGGCCCAGTGTGGGACTCGCATCCATTATCAGACACCTGCGTCGCAGCGACCGCGAGCTGTGACGAGAAATCTGAACTTGTTTTGTCTGACGTCTCATTGAAGAAGCACTCTCGCGATAAGTCTCGGCATCGTAAAGTGGCCAGTCTCAATGACCTAGACAACGTTCAACGAGTTCCTAAATGGCCAGGACGTAAAGGGTCGCCAGTGCGTCCTGCTATTCCGCGATTCCCTCCACCATATAGATCACCCACACCTCCGGGCCTTCCATCTTTCGGAAGTCCTGAAGCGATGTCCTACTCTACCCAGTTCTTCGTTCGGTCCTTTGTTCGCGAGGGACATATCCAACAGAGAATTCCACCAACCACAGGTCCACTCACTTCGAATGGTGAAGGCGTGGCGTCTTATGGGGAAACCTTGCGCAGGTTCTTCGGATTCTCTTCACCTGCCCCTCCTCGGCCAACTAGACAGTCGATTCCCGTTGCAAGGGCCGAAGATGGTACGGCAGTGCTAGGACGCTTTCCCTATCGGCATAGCGCCCATGGTACAAGCTTGGTCAGACGACTCGACGACCATCCTTTCCACCGGAGGGCAATTCCTGCGGCTGATTGTGCGACTGTCGAGGAGGAAAGCAACTCTAACCGTCCGAATGAATATGGTACGGGGTTCGTGAAGTCCACAAGCTCAGCGCAAGTCGAAGCATCAGTGCCGACTTCACGTCCCGTTGAAGAGACTCGTCGTTTCGATTCTTCCCGTGTCACCCCAGCAATACCTAAACCGACCGTGACTGGTCGATCTCGAAACACAGAACCTGCTACGGTGTCCCGGGCGAAAAACCTCATCCCAAGACAGACTAGCATCTCCCAACCACAGCATGGCCGCACTCCACTGAGTGGCAATATGCCCCAGCAACAGAGTTCGGATCGAATTGGCGAGCCTCGTCGATCCGTCGACATGACTGGAACAGTCCACGGGTCAGCAGATCCTTTGTTGCAGTTTCTACAGATCAGGGCGCTCTCTCTCTGCTGTTGCCTCCCAGGCTTCGGCGAACAGGACGACATCATATACGCACAATCTTCGAACGATACGTACACCACTGCAAGAAGCTCGCCTGCCAATGGGATTAACTGTAGGGTTTAGTACTATCCGTCAAGTGACTTCTACGGACTTGAGCACGCAGAATCTCGGTCTGTCAAATTGGGCAATCGCTCGGGCTGGCATTGTTATATCACTACAAAACACGGAGAGCCGTAGGACAATCAACCACATAAGAACCTGTTGCTAATCATAAATTGTACTTGGCTCCCTTGGTGTTGCATTACGAACAGACACCAAGCCTTGTAACTGTATCATTATTTCTTTCATTATGATTGGAAAGAGAACCAATAAAGACATCCAAATGGCTAAGTCATATACCAGCAACTCCGTTGCTCACATGCAAATATGCTTGGACATAGAAAAGTATGGGATAATATGCGTGTGCTGTGGTGGGAAAAATATGAAAAAGTATGAGAAGGCTTGGAAGGAAAGGCGATGAACCCGAGATGCAGAGGTCCAAACGGAAAAGACCAAATGTGCCGCAAGTAGCAAAGGATTATGAGGCATAGAGAAGAATGGCTGGCATAGATGCACAGAAAGTGAAGTGGTCATGCTAATAAGGACAGAGAAAGAATTATGTGACGAGAAAAGGCCCGAGAGAAAGTGCACTCGAACCGGGAACGAAGGTCGATAAAGTATTAAAGACCGGTAAAGAATTGGCACGCTTCATTGAGTTCTTCGTCATCGCCCACAAAGTCCCATCCCACGATCCTGGGATCCTGGCTGGCGCAGATGATCTTGCGAGCATCGAACTGCAGTTTGAAGATTCTCGACGTAGGGTGGCCGCCTTGCGGGTTCAGAGCTCGGTTCACGCGGACATGGTGCTGGTGGTGCGGCGGTACGGTGTTTGGCATGGGCTGCGCGTTCTGCATATGATGTTGGGCCTGGATCAACAGGGCCGGATTCGCAGCGTGCCCTAGTTGAGCGTTGGCGTTACCTGTGTTCCAGGAGTTCCAGAAAGCAACTTGCTGACCAGGCGCAGGATGAGTGATAGGAGCCTGATGATGATTTTGGTTGATGTGGGGGAGATGCTGCGTGGAAGGTGCTTGTCCAGGGGGAGGCACAGCCGCTTGCCCCTGAGGCAAAGACAGACCCTGATTCTGCGGAGCTCGCGGGGGAGGAACCATTGTCCGCGAAGAGGATGGGTGCGCCTGTGAAGCGTTGTCGACGGCGTCGGCCTGCCGTAATCGCTGGCTTATGACCCATCGGCCCTCTTTGTCTTTTTTCCAGATTATGATTGATTCGTCGTATGACCCCGAGACGATCCGACCCCATTGACTGCCACCTCCGCCTGGAGGTATTTTGGCACCCAGGGCCTTGATGTCCCGAGGGTTCCGCGAACCCGCAGTGTTTTGATGATAGCCGGCGCGTCTGAGGGCACTAGGACCCAAGTCCACCCCTTCACCGGAGCGTTGAGCGTCCCAGAACTCATTCTCGATTGCCAGAGCCTCAAGTCTCATGGCTTCCTCGGCGCCCGGTGGATCACCGAAGCCAGCCTGGACGGTTCTTACCAAATTGGCATGTCCATGTAAACAAGCGACCTCTGCGCCAGAGGCATGATCAAAAATTCGGACTGTATCGTCATTGCTTCCGCTGATAATACGTCGGTTGTCGAATTGCACGCACGCAATGCCTTTTTCATGCCCCGGCAGAGCCTTCTTGCATGCACCGCTGTGGATGTCCCAAATCTTGATGAGACGATCCCCGGACGCAGAAACGATCTCATCGTCGTTCATCTGTATCGCATTAACCGCTGCCCCGTGTCCATCCAACGTCATCAAAAGAGAGTAAGGCCTCAAGCTTCTGATGTGGTTTTTGGCAAGCTCTGCTTCTAAAACGGGAGATGGAATTTCGCTGGTGTCAATAATATAAGACGGATACGTAACTCCGACTCCTTGATGAACGCTGGGATAATCTTTGTCTAGTGGTGTAAGTTCTCGTCGATTCCAGATCTTGATGAGTTTATCCTTAGAGCACGTAACAAGATAGCGCTCGTCGAATCTGAGGTTCAGGACGGAGTCATCATGAGCGGACGTGATTTCATGGATTTTCTCACCGGTAGAGAATCGCCAAATTATGACGTTTTTGTCGCTACTGCCCGATATTATGACATCTTCCGACGGCCGCGGGTCAAACTGTAGGCATAGGACCGACTTTGTGTGACCGACAAGGGGACGATACCGAAGCCTTTTGGTCTCCAAATCCCAAACGCGAACAGTCCGATCTCGGCTACCGCTGACGAGCCATCTCCCTATAAACTGAATTGCATACACACACTCCAGATGAGCCTCTTCTGGGTGGGCCGGATGCGGGAGTTGAAAGTTAGTGAAGCGGCCTTTCGCCCAGTTATCTTCCAAGCGTCTTCGTTGTTTGTAGAGGTGCGGCCAGTTAATTCGCACGGCGCCATTAGGCATTCGAATCATGATTTGGGACTTTGGGGAAGTGGACAGCCGCTGACCGTTCGATGTGGGTAAATCGACAGTTCGGGAATCACGTCTGTTACTGGGAGACAGCGGCGAAGATCTCGAGGCTGCCGACACGCCACGGTCGTTCACAACATCACTCATCTGGTGGTCTCCCTCACTATCCGCTTCCACGGGCGCTCCGAGATCCCGTGCTGGCGCGTCATCCGATACTGTTTCTGTAGCACGCAAGTCCAGCCAACCCTGAGGGACTCTTTTTTTATTCTTCGGCTCTCCAGCATCTGGGTCTTCATGTCTCGATCGGGACTTGCGACTCTGCGGCGAGGATAGCGCGGAGTGCTTCTGTTCGAATGTGCGGATGGCGTCGATGTCAACGCGCCAGCCTTCGCTGATGTATAGGTCTCTCCATAGTCGAGTGTCACAGATACGGCTGCGCCAAGCACGGGATGCTAATGACGCCGTCAAAAGGGTCTTGGGGTCAAGGTAGGAGAAGATCTCGGATGTGATTTCGGGCGGTAGCTTGAGAACAGGGTCCATGTGCAACAGAGGGGCGAGTCGATCGACGACCGAGGCAATAGTAGAGGTTCGTAGGGTCCGTAGCAAGTTATAAGCGAATTCTGCACAGCCAAGAAGATAGCCTATCAGTCTCCATGGTCACAGCAAGGGCTTTCACCGGACGGGTTTCCAGTTCTGGCCGCACGCCTAACTCACCAGCTTTGTCCGCTTCTCGGAGTGCAAGGAGCCAATCCGGAAGGGACATCGCATCGCCTGAAGACGGTTTCAAGCAATCATTGTCCGACTGGCTTTTTGTCTCGTCAGCATAACCTTCATCAAGCTTGAAGCCTGCTGGAGATGGGGCGGTGAAATCGGAGGAGCAACTGGGGTCCCGGAGCCGCATGAGACGAGGAATTGCAGCTTCCGCCGCAGCGGGCTCTTGCTCCATGTGAAAAATGTTTCGTCAGATAAAAGTTGTGTGGTCGGATTATCGTCTCTATAATGAATCTTCGTCGTTCAGTATGAGCTTGGTTGACATGGGTTAGGATGTAATCGCGTCGGCCACTGCCTGTCAATAGATAAAGCTAGGACGTTTCGGTTGACCGTACAGTCAGGGGATATGATAATTGATCAGAACAGTGGATCATGCCAATCAAGACTGAACTTGAAGATCGATAGAATTATCTTCAATGGATCGGACCTTTACAGTAATTGGCGTGATGGCAGCCAGATGGCTTGGCCAGAGGGGAAGTTGTTTGTGTCGATTATGTCATGCTGAGAGCGGTATATCATGTCAGAATACACGCATATACCTGCATCCAATCCCATCGATTTGAAGGTCGAGTATCTAGAAATGCAATCTATAATCAAGTTTCTTGGAATTCTATCTAAGTGGTAGTCATTGCTTTCTAGCTGGTTTTCCATTTGTTTTTCTGGTAGGAGTTTGACCGTTCATCCTACAGCGAAAGAAGCACCGGGACTCCGGGAGGTGCGGTCTCTCTGTAAGGGACAATACGGCCATATCATGGATACCTGATGCCAACCCGTACAGAGAGCTGTGACCGAACATTATGAACCCATTCGTTGAAGAGAACAATTCCTTCCTTACTTTCGAAGAAAATATCAAGTCTTCGGAGATAACCAGAAAGATACTAGTTATCCAGCCCAATTCGAATCTGAGTGGAAGGAAGTACCGTGCGGCATTTCTGGTATCAGATAGATAGATACAGCAGCAAGGACTCCCACCCTCCTTAACTCTTGAGGTCAAGAGACCAGATTCGTCATGGCTGCTTACTGTCTATTTACTACGAATGCTGTGGACCTACTTGGAACCGGGAGAAAAATATGTATCATGCAAGTGCCCAGTCTCTCCCTTTCGCTGCACTAGATACTCCATCAGTTGATAGAGTTGAGAGCCGAAACACTGACTGATCGAGGTCTCCACTTCCCAGGCCCGCCGTCCAATTGAGTAATGAATATCAGAGTCTATTAGATCAGATCAGAGGCTCCATTGTTATTGATGTGTTTTGGATTCTGATGTTCTGAATCACCTGTCACTCGAGAGTTTGGGTGGATAGATAGATAGATGGTCAGACGTAGGACTTCAGGACAACATAATGTAGTATGACCTTGACTGCCAAGGAAGCTGACAGAAGAGATCAGAAGGACATTTTCTCAAATTTAAGCATACTATAAAATAAGTTGAATGCAGTAGGTATTAATTAAAATAGTTGGAAGAGATATCGTCTAAAAGTTTATACCCCCTGCCTCCTATGCGGTTCATACATTTACTATGTCTGCACCATATCATCAGGATCATATACCTCTGTAAAGCCTGGGGGATTTGTAACAGAATCATTATGCTTCTTTCTTGTCCTTAGTTATAAGCTTTAGATGACCCCTTCTTCCTTCAGGATCCTCTCTCTTCCCTTTCTTGTGATCTTATTTAAGACTCTGTAGCTGATACTGGGTAGAGTCTGCTTCTCCCCACCTCTCCACAGCTACTTTAAATACTCAGGTACTGCCTACAGTACTATTTGCTTCTATAACTAGATGTACACAGCACTAACGCGCGCTACCCTGCTTCAGTAACTAAGCAATCCATTGGCCTGGATTCTTGCGAGGTCTGTCCCTGGCGCTCTGTTACTCATCTTTCTTCTCCTTCTTCCCACCCCTCCTATCTGTTCTCTGCTCAAAAGAGTCTGCTCTTTTGTTGTCTTCCTTTCCGGCATATTTTTATCCTGATTTCTGGTGCAGTGGTACAACATCAGATATCCATCCCCTCCTTCCTCCCCTCCCTTTTGCCGTGGGAACGCCTCCTTAGTTCTTGGGCTTCTTGAGAACGCCCGCAGCGGCAAACCCCACACCCACCCTTTTTTTAATTTCTCAGTACAGAAGATCCCTCCTGAGAATTTCCGATACTATTGATACCTGGAGCTGTTCGCAGCAAGGGTCGGGGAATTTACCAAAATAAATCAAGGAAGAAAAGAAAGCACAGGAAAAAGAGGAGTCCTGCGAATTCTGTGCGTTGAAACAGGACGCCGAGTGTATTAATACTTCTTTCTTGGTCGCATTTTGACATCTTCTCCCAGAGTTAGTTAGGGCGCGGGAAAGCTTCGTCGTTTGGCTCGACCAAAGGGATAGTTATTAGTTAACTATCTATCTACCTATCTCCACTCCCCTTCCTGACAACCACCTACCTACCTTAACCTCTCTGCTCGCTCGCACCCATCCATCCCGCATCAGTCCACCGGCTCGGAAAACTTGTGATCCATGATCGACATTATTCCCTTTGACCGACGATTTGCATCTCTTTCGACCTCCTTCCTTCGGTCTGCTGCGCGGATCTGATTCGACTCACACTTTGGTTTTCGGTGCCACCCAGACTTCGAGTGGTGGGCAGCTGAGATGATGGAGCCCGTGGTATCGAACGGCGGTCCTGTCGCCGAGGACAATATCATCAACCGTCGCGGTGGTGAATCGATCTATCAGAGCTGTGTAAACCTCAAAAGACGGCTGGCTGAGGTACCGAACTTCGAACCCCACTTGCGAGAGATGGAGGAGGAGGACGAGAAGCTGGGCAACACCGACCCTGTCGCATCGCTCTGGAATTGCCTTCGGAATGGATACCCCTTGTTGACCATCTACAATGCCTCTGATCCCCCGAGCTCCTCGAGATCGATACCTCCAAGGTTCCCGAGGCGAAACGTCCCAAAGCCGCCACCTTCAAGTTCCTACAGGCATCGTTGCAGGAGCTGGCCTTTCCCCAGCAGGACTGCTTCTTGATCACCGATCTATATGGCGACAGTACGACTGGTTTCATCAAGGTGATCAAGATGGTGAATCGCGTTTTGGATATACTGGAGATGCAGGGTCAGTTGAAGCGGTCTTTGGATTCCACAACTTCGGCTCCAGCGAAAGGGGCGGTGAAGCTCACCAAGAGGGAGTTCATTCTCAAGGAGTTACTGGAGACAGAACGAGACTACGTCCACCACCTACAGAATCTGCAGGCTCTCAAGAAGGAGCTAGAGGAGACAGGGGCTCTGACTGGAGATGCTAGCCACCAGATCTTTCTCAACTTGAACAATCTCCTTGATTTCGCGCAACGGTTTCTTATTCGGATGGAGCAACATTACGCCCTACCTGAGGATAAGCAAAACTGGGGTGAGCTTTTCATTCAGCACGAGGAAGCTTTTCGGCAATATGAGCCATTCATCTCGAATCAAATGCGCTGTGATGAAGCCTGTCTCAAAGAGTGGGACAAGATTCGGTCAGCACCGCGGCCGCTCGACCTTCAGCAGATGGTCGCTCAGCCTGCAACTCTGAACAGTTTCTTTGTCAAGCCTTTTCAGCGCATGACAAAGTACCCCCTGATGCTTATGGTGTGTTGACTCCGACCTGATGTGTGCGCACCTTCATTAACCACCGGTTACAGGAACTGCGCAAACAAACCGAGGATCCCGATCTCCAAGCTGATATCACGAAAGCTATTGACACCATCCAGTCTGTTCTGGACTCTGCAAACGACGCGATCGACAAGGAGCATCTAGCGTCGGCCTTTCTCGATTTAGACGAACGAGTAGACGACTGGAAGGCTCTGAAGATCGACTCGTTCGGCGAATTGCTCCGCTTTGGCACATTCACTGTCTTGAAAGGCGACACGGGCAAAGATTCTGAAAGAGAGGTTTGTACCTGTTTTGCGAATCCTGTTATTTGACAAGCAAGCGCTCGTTATGCTAACCAAAATGCGTCCGATCTAGTATCACATCTATCTCTTCGAACGGATTTTACTCTGCTGCAAGGATATCAACCCTAACAAACAGAAAACGAAGTTGATGGTGAGCAAGGATAAGCCGGCCACAACTATCAAGGGCAAGCCACGTCTGCAGCTGAAAGGTCGCATCTACATGGCCAATGTGACGGATATCGTTTGCCTTCAAAAGCCAGGTATGAGCGTTCTCCCTATCCTTGGACATATTCCCACCACAGTTCTAACAGGTAATCCCTCCCCACAGGATCTTATCGGATTCAGATCTTTTGGAAGGGTGATCCTGGTGTTGTGGACAATTTCATCATTCGCTTCCAGAATGAGGACGTAATGCGCAAATGGTACAAGGAGATTGACGCGCAGCGAGCGATTCAAGCGGAGCAACGCAGCGCCCGAAACACTGGTACCTCCGAAACGGAATTCATGTACATGAAGGGCATTGCGAACATACCGAATCCTTATCAGCAAGAGTACGACGCTGAAGAGCAGGGCACCAAGGAGGCAGCGTTCTTCTCCGAGTTCCCAATGAGCCGTAATGCGTCCAGCACGAGTCTTCGAACCCGGTCCGCAACAGGAGGAAGCGGGAGCTCTGGACCTCCGCTGTCGTCCGGCCGGCAACCTCGCTTCCCGCCTGACCCCAGTCTGTCCGTCCACACGCAGTTCACGCCCGGTAGCATGTCACCTGCAGAGAGGAATATGAACTCGTACTTCTCCCCTGTCGCCGAGACGCCGTCGACCAGATCGAGTTCCCAGTCCACTAGCTACTCGTATGGGCGCCAGGGTACACCGTCGAACAACTGGAATGAGGAGCCTAATCGCTACACCGCTCCTGCACTGTCTCGTGGCGTATCCAGAGATGGTACCAACTTCTTCAACAACGCGCCTAATGGCCGGGGTACTCGACCTTCTCTTCCGCCTTTGGCAGGACAGGCCAATGCGAACGGCATGGCGCAAAGAATGCGTTCCGCTAGCAGCCCGGACATTCATCATCACAACTCCGAATCGCGTCGGTATATGGGAGCCCACACGATGCAGACCGTGGACAACGTCCCGGTACCACCCATTCCTGCTCATATGGCCAGTATGAAGGCGCCAGTGAACAGAAGCCAGAACAATTCGCCTACCGGTGCGAATCTTCCGATTCGCAACGGCCACAGTCAGCAAGCCTCTACCCATTTCCACGAGCCTCAATATTCGGAGTCTCGAGCCACTGGGCCCGCGTCCGATCAACCGACGTCTCCACTGAGCCGCGAGCCCGACGAAGAGCCTCTCATGCCGACCCAGCTCAAAGCCAAGGTCAACTTTGATGACAATTACGTGACCTTGGTCATCGCAAGTAACATCATGTTCCGATCGCTCACTGATCGGGTGGATGCCAAACTGGCCCGGTTCACCAATCGATCCATCGGCAATAAGTCGGTTAGGCTGCGCTACCGGGACGAGGACGGAGACTTTGTTACGATTGACAGCGACGAGGCTGTCCAGCTAGCCTTCATGGAATGGCGTGAGCAGCATCGGGATATGCTTGCGAAGGGCCAAGTAGGGGAGATACAGCTCTACTGCCAAGTGGTTGAGAATTAGACTCGATAGAGCTAGAGCATCGGACTGCTCTGCACATGTTTGTTTTTGCCTTTTTTTGGTTGGTTTTTTTTTCTCGAATCGTCCTTTGTCTGTCTTCCATTTATGTGGGGGAAATTGGCAGCAGGACGGATTATATCCCCTGGATTTCTCGGCCTCCCATTGTCTCCCTGGATTTCCCAGCTCATCCCCCAACTGGATTGGCTTGAGGCTGTCAAGATGTCAATCTTGAAACTTGCAGGCAAAGTGGGAATCGACTCCGTTGCATTGTCCCTGTGTTGATCACAATGAAGAGCGATATTTACACCATCTACTCCCTATGCTCAACCATATCTGCCCCTGATTTTATCCACGGGGGATACTCTCCCCAGGTCGAGGAGATCTTGATCATGACTTGTTCTATCTTTTTGCCACGTCCATGAACCATGACTGCATGATGTATGTTATACCGCTGTGTTTCTTCGTTTTCCTCTTTTGAGCAGACAGTTTCTTCCAGGTTATCGAGAGACAAGATGTACAGTGGATTTCGTTTTAGGGCTGGTTCTTTGTCTTCTATTTCGACTCACATTTTCCATTGAGCAGAAGCGGCACATTTGCATTCTAGTCTGGCTTTTTCCGTTCTTTTTTTCTCGAGTAAGGAGGTTTAATGGAAAAGTCCAGTAACTATCCTATACTACACGTCCGCTAGTAGTTGTAGCGAACCTCGACGTAGAGCTAGACAGGTAGCGAATATACTATGTATCGATCACAGCCTCTTGGACATTATTCATTATTCTGTAGATACTCAAGTTTCAACATCGTCATTCGGCAGATTCTACGGGAGTACCCCTGAAGCACTGGTATGAGAATTGTGGATCCGTATGGAGCCTGGCCGCTATCAAATTAGCCTGAGAGAAACAGAAGCTAGTCTCCGACCTCTCTCCATCGTCGACCAAGGTTCCAAATGCGCAACCACAACGATCATGCCGCATCTTGGGAGTCGAGTCGAGTCGAGTCGATTTGGGTACGCGTTCTCCCTGTAAGGATGCCAGAGCTATCAACTATCATCTGGATACGCTGTACATAATCCTGTTCTCAGCAGCCCGCATGTACAGTGCAGCGACGCGGGATCCATCATCCAGAATCCCCAATTTTGCAATGGGGCAGGCGGCTGCTTAGCTGATAAGGTCGGGTAGAATCCGAACTGTTCGTGTGGCGCCCAACCGTTTCCAGACTCGTCAATTGGGATTGAAGATCGGGCTGGACTGCCTGATCAGCCTTGAAGGAACGGCGGTCTGTTGCTGTATGAGGCATTTTCTGTGTCTCTATCCTCTAGTTCTTCTTAGAGGGTTGATGTGATGCTGGTATGTGTTCACTTCGTAATGGACAATTGTCTCTAGCAAGCGAAGCAGATTCTTCTTCATTGCTTGAGAGTTGACTCTTCATCTGTAGGTCTGAGAGAATAAGGAGTATATACCTATATGAGGGGTTGAGGACTTTATGTATGCGGAAAGCGAGACCGGCGGGGAATGAGCCGGGGATATTCTGCTTCATCGCAGGTGGCCTAATTTAGTGATGGATAGAGTGATGCCTATGGTCGCCTTTTCAAAAGAGAATCTGGTAGACTAGACGGCGTGGCCCCCCAGGAACTGAAGTATCTACGAGGCATCCATCCTATCTAAACTCTGGCTGAAGGATAATAACTCCGTAATATGGTTCAGCTGGCAGTCTCCGATCTCGTAGGAGGAGAAACTTGGAGTAGAGCGGGGTTTCTCTTATCCCAATTTTTTTTTTTTCTTTTTCACTCTTCCTGCCTTTTTCTTGAAGTCCTTTAAATAAATATAATTGATCCTCTGCTCTATGAAGAAGTAGAAAGCTTGCTATCAACAATACACCAAGCATCGCCACTTTTGTTTCATGAGCACCATTGTCCCCTCGACGAAATAATTACAGCGTCGCCAAGAAAGATCTACATTCTTCGCATACTATACATACTGCCACATCAGGACCGGACTACTGATAGTCTACTATAATGTCGTTCTCCGGACGTCGCTTGAGCATTCTGCGTCCCTCTAACCGGCGGTTCTCCCTTGGAAAGGAATTGTCCGAGAATGGTGCGTGTCTCATATGTACACATGCGGCTTCGTCTGGAGAATACCTGGAAGCTGGAGGCATTGCGACTCCATGAGTCGTCACAAGCTTTCTATCAAGAACTACAGCGCTGACAAGCTGGACCTCTGCAGAACTTCGTTCGGAAACCCATCGTCAGTTCAGAGCTGCCCATGAGGGTCACCGTCCCCATGCCGGCCTCGATGCTTCCCGTGCCTCGACGGGTGTCGTCTGGTGTACAGAACGTGCAGTAGAACACGGATACGCAGAGGATCCATCGGGTTGGGCGAACCTGGGCCAGGGTGCCCCCGAAGCCGACGATGAGATCGAGGGAAGCTTTCCCCGACCTACCAGTATCCCCATCACATCCGCTGCCCGCGAATACGGTCCTACCGCTGGTATCAAGCCTCTCCGCGCGGCAGTTGCCAGACTATACAATGAGCATTACCGACAAGGAAAGGAAAGCCAGTATACTTGGGAGAATGTCTGCATTGTCCCTGGTGGTCGAGCGGGACTGATTCGAATTGCCGCCATTCTGGGCAATTCGTACCTGTCGTTCCCTATTCCCGATTACTCTGCCTACTCGGAGATGTTGACGCTATTCAAGAATGTGAGTAACCCATATCTATCGCATTGTCAGGCAGTCTTTTCGGGCGCATCCTCCGCTCTGGAGCTGTCGTTGAGAACGGTCACTCACGAACATTCTCCTACACAGATCGCACCTATTCCCATTCCTCTAGCCGAAGATGACCACTACCATATCCACCCCAACAAGATTGCGGAGGAGATTGCTCGTGGGACTTCTGTCCTTCTGACATCGAACCCCCGTAACCCTACTGGTCACTTTGTTTCGCATGACGAGCTTGCGCAGATCCAGGACATCTGCAGAGACCGCGCAACGCTTATTCTGGATGAATTCTACGGTGGCTACAACTACACCACTGACTGTGATGGTTCGACGATTAGCGGTGCCGCCAACGTCGTCGATGTCAATCAAGATGGTTCGCCAGCCCCTCCGTCCTTTCGTGAATCAGAACAATCAAGAGAACGATAAGGCTAATTCTTGACAGATGTTCTTCTGATCGACGGTCTCACCAAGCGTTTCCGTCTCCCCGGCTGGCGTATCGCCTGGATCGTCGGTCCCAAGGAGTTCATTGATGCACTGGGTTCCGCCGGCTCCTACCTGGACGGTGGTGCCAATGTGCCATTCCAGGAGGCTGCCATCCCTATGCTCGAGCCTTCCCTCGTGCGCACGGAAATGAAGGCGCTGCAGCGGCACTTCAGAGAGAAGCGCGACTATGTCCTAAAGCGACTGCACGAGATTGGTTTCCGCGTCAAAGATGTGCCCCAGGCCACCTTCTACATTTGGCTCGATCTGACGTCCCTCGAACCACCTCTTCCCAAGGAGGCCAATATTTCCGACGGACTGAACTTCTTCAATGCCCTTCTGACCGAGAAGGTCATTGTAGTCCCTGGTATCTTCTTCGATTTGAACCCGGCAAAGAGAAGAGATCTGTTCGACAGTCCTTGCCATCATTTCGTTCGCTTGAGTTATGGACCAAAGATGGATGTCCTCAAGATGGGTCTGGACGGCATCGAGAGGGTGATTCGTCGTGCTCGTGGAGAAGCCGTTGAGCTTCGGCCTCAGATTGATCCTCAGTGGGAGGATGAGGTCGCCGTGTCGGATTAGGCGGTCTCATCGATTAACCAACCTGTCATGTTTGTTATTCATGTGGATTCCTCGTTCACACACGTAGAACATTTTTACAGAAGCGTCCGATAACGAATTTGGATAAATCGGCATAGATAGATATCACATTGTAGACTATGACACTCTAGCTGAGCGGAATATCGAGTATAATCCACTGGACTCACTATGTTCATGTGCAACCAAGTACTGTTTCTTTCTCCTATTCCATGTCACGTGATATTGGGGTGGGATCATGGCCGTGGATGATCTTATTCAATCTTCCATCACCCATGTCATCGAACTTCGAGATTCAATGAGGGCGAGAGCTGCGCAGCGCAGTACTCTGCGCCCATGACTATGGTCTTGAACTTCTACCGCGTCCTCAACTATGCTGCCTTCACTTTCTTTTCCGTGCTCCTATTCTGCCTAATAATCCTCACACCCGCCGACGCGATCTACCAATGCTACAAAACGCACCGGCTCACCAATATCTTCTTCATCACCGGTGCGTATGTGGCGACATTCATCCTCGCAGCGCTGATATATGCGACACGGATCTACACGAATCGTACCGTCCTATCTGCCATCCCCAAAGCATGGATTCCTGTCGAGAAGGAGGATGTCGGAAAGAGCGTCCGCCGGCTCGTAGTGGAGGGACTCGCTCGCAGTGCGATCATCGCCTATCAGGCGCGACCGAGAGACATAGCCGCAGACGGCGACAAATTCTCTGACTATCCGATGCTCGTGGTGGATCGCGACCAGCCGCCCTGGGGTAAGGTCGAACACCCAGGATGGTCGTCTCCTTCGTCGCCTGATCTACCGGACCTGCCGTATCGCGCTGTTGTGCAGGAACTGCCACATCTGATCGAAGCCAAGGCGGTGTCCCTTGCGCCTCCGGATCCCTTTCTGTCGGCTGCCGCCCATCATCGGTTCGATCCCTCCCTCTCCGATCGTGGACGGTCAGTTCCGGATACGCGGGTTGTGGAAGTACTACGGAGACCTGCGTCGATGGGATTGCGGGAGTATATCCAGCATCTTACGGCACTCAACCTGGTCAATCCCCCAGAAATTGGTGCGGAGTTTCTCGCTCACTACGAACGGGCCCGTTTTTCGTCTCGCGAGCTCCACGAGGATGAATTCAGGGAGCTGATGCACGTCTTTGCGGACGTCTTGCGGGGCATGACATACCTGGATTCTCGGATACTGGATGACATCAGAGGAGGAAGCTCTCGCGGTGACAGCGAGTCCCTGATTGGGCCCTCCGATGAAGAAGGCGAGACGGATACCATGGAGTTTTTGGATGATAGCGACGCGCTTTCTCTTCGCCGTAGCGATAGCTTGCAGCCTTCGGTCGCCTCGTCGACCTGGGAGAGCCGCTCGGTACATACTGCGCCTACGGCGCAGAGTCGTGGATCGCCGGTCGCATCCAAACATCACGACCGGTATCGCACATTGGCCCCTCCCCGCACGCCGTCGACCCGATCGCTCAGACGCGTGCAGTCGAATGTCTCGGGCAGTTCGTCGGGGGGCAGTGTCATTCGCTTGGTAGATCCCCGCGGGCCGTCGGACCTGCCTTATGCTTACAACTTGGGTCCTACAAGTAGTAGATCATGAGCTTTTTTGGTTACAAGAAATTAATATGTCTAATTCTTGGACTCAATTCCTTAAAAAGGTAGACAATGCTGTCAAATATTCGCACGTTCTCTGGCCGTAGTATGTACATAGCCGTGACGTAAGCCAATCGGAGATGCGGCACAGCTTCGTCCTCCCCGTACCTGAGAATGAGACACTGTGTACGGAGTACTAGTTTCCACTTGCCGGCCTTTTTTCCGTTCTTGGCAACAAGAGTAACGTAATCTTGATAAGATCTGATCTGATCAAAATCAGATCATCAAATCATCCGAAACAATTGCCTTGTTGCATGCAACCTGCGCACTTTGATTCAAAAAACCAGCATGCAGGCTCTTCTCCGCCGAGGCGCCTCGCTATTTGGCTCGACGCCATCCGGCTCCCCCAAGGAGAGCGGGGATTTCGGCGAATTCCGCAAGGCGCCGTCACACGATGTGTTGTTCCCCAAGGTCGACCCGGCCGTTGACGGAGAGGAATGCCTCCACGACTGTGCGTCGTGTTCGGTGAAGTACCCCGCCCGGTTCGACGTGGACTACGAAGATGAGCTCTACGGGCACGTCAACGGGTGGGCGACGCATCTGCTCGTCGCGACCGGGAAGACAGACTGGGTGAGGGATGTTGCAGACGAGAAGGGCAGTTTGATGGAGGCGATCGAGAAGGGGGACTTGTGCCGAGCAATGGGGTATGCCACCGCCGCATTCAGCCTTTCACGCACGGATGAGGTCTTGGCTAATGTGTACTGGTTAGAATCTGAAGCTGTCTGCGTCCAACATGCCGGTGCCGGACGAGTATCACCACCACGAGCCCGGGGAGCAGCCTACCAACGTCCTGATCCTGCCCGCCTTCACGGTGGTGGAGCAGGTGACTCCGGCTCTTGCGCCCGAGCTCATCAAGTACTTTGTCAGCCGCGCGCCGACAACCACCACACCGCTCGGAAGCATCCCGGAACCTCTGGCTGAGACCGAGGGCGATGGCGAGGAGCAGCCCGCCTCAGTGGATATCAGCTCGCTGACTTCGCTCCGGTCCCGGCCCTGCGGCCATGCAGCCGTGATTCTTCTCTGCTCGCAGCGCACCCGGGACGCGCGCTGCGGGCAGTCCGCCCCGTTACTGCGGCGCGAGTTCGAGCGCCATCTGCGGGCCCTGGAGCTGTACCGCGACCTGAACGATGAGCGGCCGGGCGGCGTGGGCATCTACTTCATCAGCCACGTTGGGGGCCACAAGTACGCGGCGAATGTGATTGTTTACCGGCGGCGGGACTTTGAGTGGTATCGCAAGGAGAAACGGGGGCAGGACGCGCAAGGGAAGACGACGGGCGAGGCAGACGAGGGCGCGGCGCAGGGCATCTGGCTGGCGCGCGTGCGGCCGGAGGACTGCGAGAATATCGTCAAGTATACGGTCCTGCAGGGGAAGGTGGTCAAACCTGGGCTGCAGCTTCGGGGTGGGTTTGATCGCGAGCGAGGGAAGATTAGCTGGTAGACTACGAGGGATCCCCTTGACTTGGGGTAGATTGTACGTATACCGTGATGATATCATGACCACTAGATGCATATAGAATATGGCACTCTCGACAAATCTCATCCTCTCTCAAGAGAGAGAGTGTGTGTGTGGTGTTTTCACAAAGTATCTGCATATCAGTTATGCCGTAAATGGGTGCACGATGCTGTTAATGATGCTACGCCAATGAATCACCATCGCAGAGTACCGGACTATGGCTGTGGCACCCCCACGCCGCAATATCCCACTACCCCAGAGTATGCCGTATTCCACAGTCTTGACTCAAGTCGGGTAATACAGTAGTATACAGCATCTGTACGGAGTACGGAGAATGGAGTACACCATACGCCATCAAACAATGGGTCGCAATCATAATCATAATCATAGTCTCCCCCCCGTATCATCCAGGCCAAGACCAGACCAGATCGAGGAAGATGAGCCTCGGCCTCCCTCACCTGCTCAAGAAAAGTCAAGAGAAGCCAGACGCCAGAAGGCAGAAGCCAAACTAAAAGGAACCCGCCCCTTCCCAAATACGAGCTTCTAATATAACTAAACTAACGGTCCCAGTCAGTCGCGGGTCCCAAGGTCCAAGTCCAACAGCCAGATTACCCGCAACACCCAACCCAAGCACCATCGCGCGGATCTTTCGTTAAATTTTACTGGAAAGAGGTTAGCCCCGCAAGTTCTCAGAGTGTTGCCCCCTTCAGGTCGGCGAGATTACTATCTGCTCAGTGGTGATTCGTTATTCGATCTTTCAGCCCATGGACACCAGGGCCTTGGGTTCGTGAGTACGGTGCCTAGGCTCTGTTCTTGAGTCATGAATTATGATCGTTCTACGAGAAGCTGGCTTTCTTAGGTAAGGTAAGATTGGTGTGGCTCCCTTAAGGGACCTGAGTATCCATAGTCCGTAAAGAGTGTCGCGTGTCGGGTCGGGGGCCATGGCTGTGGCCATCGCCTTAGTCTACGGGGTATTGGATAATGAAAATCGAATAAAGCATTGCATACCGTTTTTGGTGCATCTAGACGACGGATGGATTTGCCAGATGAGATGCAATTTGCAAACTTGCCTGTAAATAATAATCTCACTTGACGTCGTCGTACTTAGATAGCAAGCAAACTTTCCAATAGTAGTACAGACAGTAACCCCTGCTAGCTGTTGTGGCAAGACGGAGCCTGAGGCGGGAAGGGGGGAGCTAAGTGTTTACCTTACCTTAACCTTAGGCATTCACTGAGTAGGACAGTATGACACTGCCGTGTTCTGATTGGATGGTGAGTTGTGCCACACAATATTTCATCCTTCATTTGACTACCAAAGTTTAAACGGCCCGTTGCACACAAAGACTTCAAAGTGGAGCGGACGGCTAGACGGATTCGTGTTACAATACTTGACTTGTGTGACTGACCACTGTCAATTCAATGTGTTGTGTAACCTCTCGCCTTGTTTGGGCTTTGGAGGGTCGTACAACGTTGATACCCCGGACGGAATGGATTGGGAGGTACGCAAGGAATCAAGGATAGAGTGAGGCAGCAATAGTTAGACTCAGTCATACAAGAAGCTTAAGGTGTCCCATTGAGTAAGCTTAATCGCTAACTTTTCGATCACCAGGAACTTGATTCTGGTTCATAATGGAAGTTAAAAGCTAAGGAGAGGTGCAGATGGAGAAGTGAACAGTCCACCAACGCCATCACTCATCAAATACTCGCGTACTCGTCCACATGGTCGCATGTTGATATCTCAACTCAATAGCGAATCCGCGCAGCATCCACATACCCTGAACGGAGTACTTAGGCGGATGTTACTCGGTGGAACCCGCCAAAGACCAATCCATATTGTGCACAGTGCAGACTGCAGTGCAGATTTGACTCCTTTCTGGACCCTGTATCGAGATATAGATGTGGGTAAACGTCTTCAACTGTATCGTATTGGAGTGTCTCCACCTTAGCATAAAGGGAAGGTCCAAAGACATCAATCCTATAGGGTGGAATGAGGAGCCCTGGAAAGAGCCCAGCAGATATGAGGGAAATCCACCTTGTGGTTACCGAGAGTACGCCGACAACGATAACGAGCCCAGCCCATAGATGTAAAAGCAAAAGATGGGCATTTTAACCGGCACATGGGGAACCTGCGACTCTCGACACGACGCAGACCATTTGTTAAGGCAACGAAAGACGAGATATCTCCGCGATGGAAGGCAGTTCTTCTGCCTCGTCTGTTGGCTGGTTCCACCTATGGTGTGTTCCAGGAATCGTCCTCGTCTTGAAGCTGTAGGGACAGATTGGCCGTGCATAACCGTCTGCAGAGTCAACTCAAATCTCAGTTGCCACCTCGAAAAGTCAAGTTTCTCCGGACTTCGCTGCGACATTCTGGAAGTACTTGACTAGGTACTCTGAGCTATGTACCTACGAGATACAGGCTGGAGAAGCTATATGCGCATCTCTACAGCAAGTACCCCAGAGGTACTCCGGAGATACACCGGTGAAATCGGTCTCCTCTGCAAGGTGGCAAGACAGTTCCAGCACAAACAGGCCATAAGTCTCGTACTGCGATTTTTTCGCCTCTTTGGATCTGAGTTAGCTTAACCTTTTGGCGGAGATGTTCGGAGAAGAGCCATCAGCCTTCGCCGCCGGGGAGTATCTTGTCACTTGGATCTGTATATAGAATTAGCACTTTTGAGTTTGACTATCGTAAGTGTATGAGGTGGATGTTGACCACTGTACGGAGTAGGTACGGGGTATGTATGTAAATCTGTGTATAGGTACCATATCCCGTACCACAGCATAAAACGGGTCCCGTACGTCCTGTAATACCAAAAACACACGTTACACGAGTCAGCCGTCAAATAACATTGTGGGTCACAACAGGCAAACCCATGGAGCCGGCTTGGAGTTTAAGTGGTAGGACCCGTCCCCGTACAAAGCTTAGAGCCAAGCTGTCCTGAACCTTGATATGTGGGCTCGCTGGATCACAAAGTTGGAGATCATCATAACTTACAACTCAGTCCTGGCCAGTGCATGGCCCAAGCTCTTGCACTCTATCCAGATCAGAGTTCAGGGATTTTGGTGGTAACCGGCAAGAGTTGCTTCACTCTGCTCGATCATCAGAAGCAAAAAGGTAAATGCCAACAGGTGATTCTGCTCTCATTGTTGATTCGATGATTTCGAATTCCCAAAAACCCAAAGTTCGTAACGCCTCCAGCAAAAGCAAACTTTACTTTACTTTTGTGCCATTCGCCTGTATGTCAGCGCGTTACCTGTCCATTTTCCTGCCTTTTGTTTCGTCTTAGCCGATATTCCCACGCGCCGGAATTGTCCGACAGTGCGAGTCCCTGCATGAGGTGTTGAGATTAAGCCAGTGAGTAAGTACGAAGTAGGCAGTGTTGAACATGGCACATAGGAGACAGGTGGATGCTCAACATAACGTTAGTTGGCTATGAACTAGGGAGCGATCAGCTATGCGGTACGAAGTACAATAATCAGTATCAAGTGAAACAGCATCCCCGATCCTTGGGGTCAGCTAGTCGCCTCGTTAACCTCACCGAAGCAATTCAAGTCAAGGCTCCTACAACTTAATTGTTCCCTTGTGGATTGTTAAGTCGAGGTGGCCCCTGTCGTCCCGTACCTTAATAAAGCGCTCCTTAATTTTGCTCAAGCTAGGCAAGAACACTCGCCGGTCGAGTATTCCACTGTATCTCCGCCTCAATTATACGGGGTGGATACGGTGATCCAGCATGAAGGTTGGTTCGGAGACAGTCAGGGGAGAAATGATCAAGAACAGGATACGGAGTACTTACTGGAATGTTATTGTCCAACAAAGACTAATATGCTCGAAACCGTCTAGCCTCATTCTGACACGAACAAGCTTACCTAAAGTTCTCCTGGCCAGGTGGCCGGGACACCGGGTATTGCCCATGATATCCAACGGTACTCATGAATGTGAGATCTGTTGCAGCTTCATCCAATCAGTGCAATCAGAGTACTGTGCCCATTCTACTTATATTTCTAGACCACTACTATTTAGAGCCTGGGTTTCAGGATGATAACTTTACAAAATCAGTGTGAGAGTTGAAGCTTCTACCTGCATACGGGACTCCAACTGACAACATCCTACAGTCAACACACGTGATAGAGGAAACAGTGCATTAGGCGCCTTCTGGCTGACATGGAGTACCTAGCAAAGTTTATTCAACTTATCATAATGAGCAAGGTTCACGCGTAGGAATGGTTTCCAGGTCTTCTTGACGCAAGGTAATCACAGTAAGATATCACAAACACTGACAGCTTACAGTAAGTAGTAGTTAGTCTTGTAGCTATGGCTTAAGAAAAAGAGCGCTGATTAGCTGATAACCCCGCGATTTCTGTTGCGCCCCAAGGCAACCACAGCTGCAGCTAGCTGTCAGCTCCGTCTGTGCTAACAGCATCCTTTCTCGTGTCGACGATGAGTCGGGACTCGGGAGCGAATGAGACTCGACTTCCAATCTCCTGGAACCCCATGACAGCATGATCCTTGCTGACAGAAACAGTTGAGCTCAATACTCCGTCCTCTATAGTCACTCTGACTCTGAAGTCAGGTGTAGACATACGTAACATGTCTGGACTTGATGCCGTGCGCTGCTCCGTAAAGGCGTGAGATACATTGATCACCCTAATCCCCCCCCCCCCGTCCACACTGGAGACCGCTAGTTATCTCCGCATGGATTCTAGGCCTTCGCGTCGTACAAAGTCCGATTTTAGGGTCTTAGTACTCCGTACGGATAGTCGGATAACCCCAACGTCTCCTGTCTGCAGCAAGCTCGATGACCTGTCTGTTTGTTTGATTGTTGTGAGATGAATCTCTTGGCTCTAGATCCTAGTCAAAGTGAAACACCTGGTAGGAGCTACCTTAGACTAAAGTAACTAATCAGGTATGATGATGAATGGTATCTGGTATTTTTCGAGTCAAAAATTGATACCTTGGCTGTACACAAAAAAGTATCGGTGCGTGGAATCCCACTATTCCCTCCACAAGTGGCACAAAATGTCAATAATATAATAAAGCAAGCAAGCATAAGCCAACAACCCTGTACACCCCTCGCCAAATGGTAATTCTACCCGATATCTAACTACCTGCACACTCTGTACTGGGTATGCTGGGTGATTGTGTCATGATAGCTAACTCTGGCAGCAATAATGCCTCACTCCCCATCGGCCATCGGCACATCCTTGTACTAGACTAACCCCCGAATCTACTAGCGTCCGTCGTTCGAAATTGGTACCTCTTTGGCTCTTGCTCTCATTCTCAGGTTAGGTGCCCCTCTCCCCTGGAAATAACGGAATGCCATTTATTTCCCCCCCTCCGGTCGCATACCAGAGCATCTCATCTCCCCGGATCCGTGATCCGGAAATGTCAGGAGAGGAACGATCAACAGCATCATGTACTTCTTTTCCCTCTTCGTTTCAAGTAATCTGAGCGAACCCGCGAATCATCTACATATCAGACCGCACAGTGTCGAAGTATATACTACTTGGCCAACCATTGCCAGATGGTATGTGCCGTCGATCGTGCAAGCCACAGTGGTGGCGGCCCTGGTATCTAACCTACCTTAGGTAGTTTCTTAAGTACAGTAGGTTTTCCGTTAGATACTGGCTGGAGTCCTGCATATCGGATTTTGGATTCTAATTGGTCGCCCCCACCCTCCAGTGTGGAATGGAACTTGCAGCAGATAAAGTATCAAGCAGGAAGAGACTTGCCCTGTTGTAAT